TCATACTATAGGTAAATGATGGTGCTGTTATTAGGATAGTGATCACTCAGTTTTATAGGAACATTGCAATGAACTATAACATTAAGAACTTTGCTATAACAAAATGATTTACAGATATATTCACAATGTATTTTTCACTATTGATGTTAGCAATATACCGTTAAAGTGTATTGTAAATTGATTAATTCATCATACTGCTAGAATTTTCGATCAATTTACGTTATCAAATGTTAATATGGAAAACCAATTCCAGTAATGTAAATATTGTTCTTGAAGATTTACTGTTCAAGTGTTTACAGTTTAAAAAGCTCTGTTTGCTGTTTCTTGATATTTTGATAATACTGGTATTTTGAATTTTTGTCTAACATAGATGATGGTTTTTCAATGCAATGCCAGTTGTTTGACTTTTTGAGAATGAGATGCCACTTTTGCTAATTATATGATGTTTACCAGAATGCAAGGCAAATAGTTCTTATTTACTACCAAATGGTTTTGAAATGGCATACATGTATGTATACATCCTTTTTTGCTACTAGTCTAATCATGATATAAGTTTGACACTATGTTTTAATGTAACCATAATGAATATACTCAAACTATCCCTTGTGTATCTTGTTTTAGAGCACATTTACTTATTGAGAGTTGGGTTCTCCGAGTAAAGTATAGGTTCATTGTTCATATTCAACCAATGTCATATCTTCATGAGTATTATTATGAGTACACGATATTATGTAGCATTATCTTTGGATTGTCTTAATTAGTACAAAATACAGTAATGTCGCCACAATTATAACCATGGACTTAATTGCATCATATGTTTATTGCGATATCCATTTATTTTGATTTATGATCGATTGTATATATGTTCATTGTAATCCCACAGTATTTCTCCAGTCACCCACCATAAAATTGTTCATAACTTCCAATTTTAAAAGTCCAGGGGGGATGTTATATACGTGCTTTATAGTGGGTGATATGTAGATAATACTGTGGTAAGGGAGATAATCCAATCAGCTTTTTCTAATTCCGGACTCCGTCCGTATTTTTCTATTATTATATAATCTGATCCGGTTCACGGATATGTTTTTGAGAGAGGAATAAAAACATGACTGAATTATACGATGTCTCTTCTTGTTGCACCAACCAATATCTACGACACTGTGTCTCCGTCCGGGCGACGAATTCGGCTTGAGCGGGCTCCTATCACGCTTAGCGTTGTAGTCCAGAACGTCAACTCAATACCGCTTCAAGTTCGCGGGAGTGTTAATATTTCACGATATGTTGAAATCCCCAAGATGTTATAATTACTATCCTATCAATATGAGGATTAAGACAAATCGAAAGGACTTTATACCTACTTCTCTATTTTGAATGTATTGCAAAGTAATAGCTTACTTATTATAATTATATTTTTAGTTGAGGAAAGTAGATAAGGTGTACACAGCATTTCAGATAGATAAAAGTGTAAATTAAATGTATCTACATGTCTATCTTCCTTGAAGTATCAAGGTTAGATTTTTCTTCCAGTAATTATATCTATAAAGACATAGTTCTATGACATTAAACTAGACTTCCATATACAAAATTTACAATATTTTCACTATAGCTACTACTATTTCTGATCTCCAATGCATTAGGTAATGTCACCATGACACGCAAAATGAACAAATATGTTATGGAAATATTTCGTTCTAGTTAATTGATAATTATAAACATGAATATTTTGGTTTTTTATACGCGCTTTGTTTGCAGGAATATTTTCATTTCAAGGAACTTTGATACACATTAACAAACCTTGACAAATCAGCACAATCAACCTTCATCAAATAAAACTAAAAGACAAAAAATGTAAGTTATAACAAAGTCAACATCATGATCAGTACACTATTAAAATATATATCATTCATAAATCATGAGCACCAAATTTACCATATCTACGAAGCGCAAACTTTTATCTACAAAAACTTGAAAAAGTGTCATGGCGGTGGGTGTGAAAAACCTGAAAAAATGTCATATCGGCGGGTATGCGCGTGGGACGAACAGTCCAATTTTGTGACGTCTAATGAGGTAAAGTAATGTTATATATTAAGACAATCTTGCCACAACGACAAGGATTAAAGCAAAATTGATGTTCTGTTTGTAAGTTTTGTTTGTTTATAAGTGCTGTTAGTTAATAATTCAAACCAAGCCCCCAGACTAGCTTCTTATCATAGCGCCAACTCGCACGTACAGTGTTCTGTATGCTTACGTCATGTCGAGAAGGATTCATAAGCCGCCATACAGTAAATACGCTGTAAATCAAGTCATGCAGTTACAATAAACTTTGAAGATACAAGAAATCATTTTTTGCTTACTTACGGCAGAGACGTATCTCTGCTTACGGTTAATATGGTTGTTTTCTAGGAATATTCACAGCAGGCGATAAGAAAGCACAGGTCGGGGATGTCCGTGAGCAAATTCCGTAAAATATATTGTTCAAAATTTATCAATAGTTCAACCACACTGTGCTCCTTTTTTTAAATATATAGTAATCGTATTGTTATTAAAAAATAAACTGATTGTGGATGCTTTTAAAAGATCGCGGCATTATTTACGCAGAAAATTGCCGCTAGAGGGCTCTAACTCTTTTCGATATTTCAACCAATGAGAAGGCCATGATCGGTAAATTTTGTCTGAAAGGCCGTCGCAATAGGCTGTACGTACTGAGTACGTTTAGCCTAAAAATGAATCGAAGATTTATTAAACAAGAACTTGAAATCATGACTAATTCCACCATTACTCACTTGATTAAATATTGTCAAACACAGAGTTATCACATATATAATTAATAGATCTATGTACAACAAAGTCAAATAACATATTAAGAATCTACTTACTTATATGTGACCAACTGACTGACCAACAACCCAAGTATAAATAGCAACTGTGAAAAACATATAAAGTTAAAGTAGATCTCAAGGGAGGGGGCGGGGACAAATACTATGGGAGAGGGGTAGGGGGGTACTTTTCTGATGGGCAAAAAAGTATCCCGGATGTTTATATGATGGGTGGGAAAGTATCCGGGTACTTTTATGATAGGGGATATAACTATGATTGACACCGACACACAAACAAATAGAGGCTGTAATGTATAGTTACCCCACGCTTCCATACCGTCTACACAGGGTCACACATCAAAGGTACAAATCTGCCACCAGGAGTCGTGCATGATTGAACTGGTCCAAATTTAAGGTTACTGGAATGGTAAGGTGCTGACAGACCAGTTATGTACCTTTCAGTCATGAACAGCACCGAAAACCTTAATAAACAAGCAGTTGAATCGATTGATTCCATGTGATTTACAACATTATACAATAAAGGATTAGCAGTGTAGACTTGTAGTAGCTATTTCTGTAGGTTGTAAAAGAAAGAGCACTTTTGATTGGTTGTTTGAAAGAAGGCATTTCATTAGATGGGTAGTCGTATAAATAGAGGTTCCACTAGACGAAAAGCTTCCACGTCGCCAGAGAATCGACGTAGGTCGATTGGATTCCGCCCGGCGACGGGCGGAATCACGGAGACGAAAAACTGCCAACAACAACAACGACGAAAAGCTCTCTCTCTCTCTCGGATGCTGACAGGCGTAGAGGATCTCTAGCTGAAAATAAAAAATAACAGTGACCAAGCTGAAAAAGTTTGGGCCTAGCTGAATAAGTTAGGGCTCCACTGTAATCCTTTAAAATCAGAACCAATAATTCTTACACGTCTTATACAGTGAACAAAGTCACGGGAGATCACAGTACAGGGTAATGTGTAGTTGATCAGGTACAGTGACAGGGTACCGAGGCACAGGTTTTGCCGAGACACAGTGTATAGCTGACTTGGTCCAAGTGGTTGAGGCAAAAGGTGACGCAATCATTGCACGTGTGTCGCGGTGAAGGCTGACGTGGTCAAAGTGTGTCACGGTCAAGTTTGTACAGTCACGGGTGTTGTGGTAAAGGTTAATTATTTACTACCGACACAGGGTGGCGGGTATATATGTGATATAGTGTTTTAGTTGGTATTGAGACTCTATACATGTCAGTGTTAAGGTGAAATAAATGTTAGTTATCTACCGGGTGTAGTTTAGAGTATAGTTATTGAATTCGTATAGTTTATATCAATATTTGAGTCAGGTAGACAGGCCAGTATTTTGTATATATATTGTGGGCATTTTATTATTTGTTAAACAGTTACTGGGTCCAAGATAGAACTTGGTAACGAACTGACAGTACGCATCCGTTACACAGTCAACGGAACATTCTCAGATGCCGGGAATTTTATGCTGGCGATATTGCCATTGTTTACGGGTGTTATTTTTATTTTTCACAGACCAATCCACACAGAAAGGGTAATTAGAGCAAATCAGTTGAAAAAATGTAAATAAATTAGTAGCAAACGAATTGAAAGTTTTATTGGGATTAAATAAACAAGCAATACATGTATACTTATCTCTGGGTAACATGACACTAAGAATTACAGTGATGAGTTAACACAACATGTTCATTCACACAACAATTAAATTTCCCTCAACATACTCAACTTTATCCAAACCATGGTGGGTAACACAAGCATGGCGGAATGTGATGACTTTTAAAGTTGTAGGTTTTACAGAATATCATTAACTCTTTCATCTACATGTATTGTATCAATTAGTTCCACACAGCACGCTTAATCGGCATATTTTTCCGATACGGTTTGGATCAGTATACAGATTGTCGGGTTTGAGTGATCTTTAAGGTTTTAAATGACATAGAATTCAACATGTATTATGTACTTGTGTGTAGTGTCTGGGTTCCTTCCTTGTCTGCCCTGATTGGGTAATTTAAGCGGATGTGTATTGATCTGTCAGTGGTTATGCTAGCAGCAAACAATAAAAACTTTAGCAGTGCTTCAATAATGTCAATCACTATATTTAGCCATGTATACAAAACTAAATATACACATACATATTTTACTTCACTCTGTGTACATCAAAAGCGATGGCAGAAGTTTGTGTCTCGCGGCTGGAAGGACGAACAGAAACTTCTGATAGGGTTATCCCGGGGGTAGAAGGTGTCGTGGGGCAGTTGTCGGGTACAGACCAAACGGTCGTAGCCGCGATCGACTTTGGTACCACCTATTCCGGGTACGCTTACACATACCGGCGAGAGTATGAGAAGTCAGCCGGGTCTCGAGAAATAGTCATCAACAGGTGGTCTCCCAAAACGGGGGCCCATCTCTCGGCCAAGGCCCCTACCACCGTACTGTTTGACCCTGAGATGACCTTTCACTCATTCGGGTACGAGGCTGAGGAGAAATATGCGGACCTAATACAGGAGAAACAACATCAAGACTGGCACTGCTTCAGGAGGTTCAAAATGAAGCTACACGACAAAATGGTAACGTTGTGATTGAATCGATATAAATGCATAAAATGTTCCACATAGAAGTCATTCGGGGTGAAATAAGACGGGATAGTTTATTACTTATAGTGTTTCTTAATCTTGCAAATTCTATTCCGAAAAAATGGCCATTTTGTTTTTATTCAAAGAACCAAAACTTATCTAAGGTAAGAAGCTTTAAACAAAGTTTATGTATTATCATCTTTACAGGTACAACTACTGGTTTACAGAACAACACATGTAAACATTGACTGTTTGACACCTCAGACGATTTTAACGGATTGTCGCTATTTTGTCAATTTATCAACAAAAATATTACTACATGTAGGTAGTCGGGTCCTGGAAATACCGGCGAAATTCCACTATATGTTATTGTATAATAAAAAAATGAATTTCAGAAAAAAAGTCCCTCTTTTTACTGCATATGGAGTGGTCATAGCGGGACATTCTACCACTCGACTGAATGGAAATTCAAACCAGCTAGTGAGGCACCCTGTACTCTCAATTTCTATATACTCCTTCACTCACACAGTCTTCGACCCGGAAGACAACAACAATACGGATTCGATATCCCGAAGGAGGCATCTCTGTCTCCTATAGCTTCTAGCTTTGGAGTGGTCATGACATAAAATCTGTGATAGGAAAACGTAATACACTGCCACCGCTGGGGTTCGAACAGAGACACTTTGGTCCCTAGCCGGACAAATGTACAACAAACCTCTACACTCAGTTTTCATGTCTTTCAGACTCTGAAGCGCAAGCTCAAGATCGAGGACGAGGCTGGTCGAACGTTCCCTGCTAAAACAGTGTACACAGAGAGCATAAGATACCTTTATAAGAAAGTGTTGGCTTCTATCGAGACTCGCACTTCAAAGAAAGGCAAGGAAACGATTGACTGGGTGCTTACTATCCCCGCTATCTGGACTGAACCTGCCAAACAGTTTATGCGCGAAGCAGCAGTTGCGGTAAGTTGAACATCACTAAAATGTAGTTCATTTGCCTTAGCTCCACAAAGCGTGACATTTTTTGTTTTCTTTAATTTATAGAGAAGATATTTTAGGTCAATTTACTAGCTGTACTCTGCGAAATGGCAGAAATAGCGATTTTCAAATAAGTTCCCTTATCTATTAACCATTTGGTTACCATAACCATAAAAACCGACGAAACCCTATCTGTGGCGTTTAGGTGCCAGCCCGATGTTTGTACTAGAATATCATTAGTCAAATATCCCTGATGATAATACAAGTACGAGGCATTGTTTCATTTTTAAGAATAATCAAAATTTGAATATTAGATAACTTTTTTCAATAGGCTGGAATACCTACAGCTAATCTTCAGATAGCCTTGGAGCCAGAAGCGGCCGCAGTCTACTGTCGCTCCCTCCCGGACGGTACACTGGTCGACTCGCATGACCGCGGGTTGAAGGACGCCTTCAAGCCAGGGGGATGCTACATGATCGCTGACCTTGGAGGTAGATTGTACATCTGTAATGTATGGACACGGACTTAGATAAAGTTATTAGTCCGTGATTTGGATAAAGTTTTCCCATCTGATACGTTTTCGTTTCCGTAGAAGCTGCTAATTCACACACTGTATTATTGATGATATGCTATCGTAATTTTTTTATCATTTGATTCCTAATTCCGATTAAACCAGATGAGAATATATGTTTTTTATGAAGGTGGAACAGTGGATACGACAGTACATGAAGTGGCTTGGGACGGACGATTGATGGAGGTTCGTCAAGCGTCTGGCGGACCCTGGGGAGGCACTTCTGTCGACGATACCTTCTACGATTTCATTGTTGAAAAATTTGGCAAAGATTTCATCCACCAATTCAGAACTGCTAGAGCTTCAGATTGGATGATGCTAACGACAGAATTTGAAGCACAAAAACGAAAACTGAGTTGTGACCAAACTTCAAAAATTAACATTCAGATACCGCCTCGACTTATCGCTGAGAGTAGATCGGCAGTCAAGAGTCAACCAACTGATGATAAGATCATCATCGACAACAATGACTTAGAGAATTTTTTCAGCCCTTCCACTGACGATATAGTGACTCATATCCGATCTATTCTATCAGAAGTGAGTAAAGTAGATCTTATTATACTGGTTGGTGGATTTGCTACCTCCCGTTATGTTAGTCGGGCCATTCAAAATGCTCTTCCGGAAAAGCGAGTCTTGGTTCCACTTCAGGCGGAAGTGGCTGTCCTATTTGGCGCTGTGTTGTTTGGATTTGAACCTTTGATCATTTGTGCTCGGGTTTGCAAACATACATACGGAATTGGCAGTTTTGAGGTGTTTCGAGAGGGTGAACATCGGCAAGACTACAAAGTAATGGTGGATGGCAGACCGCATTGTGACAACGTATTTGGTATAATCGTATCGAAAGGCGAGAGGCTGAGTTCTTCTGAGTTACGTTCGCATGCATACTCTTCCACACATCACGGGGATCACAGGCGAAGCACCACTATGGTCGTTCCCGTGTTCGCTTCTACCGATATCCATCCTGAATACACAACAGAGGACTCGTGTGTGGAGCTCGGCTGTATCAGCATCGAACCTCCGACAGACGGTTGGCCAGTGGAGGTACACTATACAATAGAAATGTTTTTCGGACATACCGAATTTGCTGTCACAGTGAAAGACGATTTCACTGGACAAACTTACAAGTCTCATTTTGACTTTTTAAAGTGACAAAAGTGAGCCAATTGACTCACCGAGAGGCTAACATAGGAATCAGTATATCTTTCATTGGATATTTTCATAATGTTTAAGATATCTAGAAAGCAGCACATATATTTGACAATGCGATACGTGCGAGGTCCAGTTTTCAATGTATTCACTGCGTGTTTCTACCTTCGAAATTTCTAATAAATATCCGTGATTTTTTCTACATTTCTGAACTTAAACACTTAAATGTTATGATAATTGTTACTTTAAAACTATCAAATTTAGCAACGTTTTCTAGTCTTCCAGTTGTTAAGGATGCACACGTGATGAGTTGATGTTGTGAGGAGTTGCGTGACTAGAGAACTAAAATGCCAGGCAATGAAAACACCTATTAATGAATATCGTGTTATGGTCTGCCTCTCTTTACCAATGATCTTTGGCCGGTCGATTGAAATACATCGGATAAATACTTAATAATCGACAATGAAATTTACCTGCATGTACTTCTTTGGTAGATCATTAGCGTCAGAGAGCCACCACACTGCCCAAGTTTGAATGAAGTAAGTGTGGGACGTCGAGAACAATTTACATCAATCCTTTGGTTCAGATTTCAGTATTTAGAATCAACATAGTTTAAACATAACATTTCACTCTTTGTGCCCGATCAGGCAAGTTGACATCAATGCAATTATGTAATGAAGATACACCTTAACGCTTCGAAAACAATTAGAGGTGAGTTCAAGATAACTGTAGTGAGTTTGTATATAACCAGTGAGTTTGTATATAACTAGTGAGTTTGTATGTAACTAGTGAGTTTGTATGTAACCGTAGTGAGTTTGTATATAACTATAATGACTTTGTATATAACTGTAATTAGTTTGTGTGCAACTGTAATGAGTTTGTATATAACTAGTGAGTTTGTATGTAACTAGTGAGTGTGTGTAACTGTGATGAGTTTGTATATAACTAGTGAGTTTGTATATAACTAGTGAGTTTGTATGTAACTGTAATGAGTTTGTATGTAAATGTTATGAGTTTGTATGTAACTGTAGTGAGTTTGTATGTAACTGTAATGAGTTTGTATGTAACTGTAATGAGTTTGTATGTAACTGTAATGAGTTTGTATATAACTAGTGAGTTTGTATATAACTAGTGAGTTTGTATGTAATTGTAATGAGTTTGTATGTAACTGTAATGAGATTGTATGTAACTGTAGTGAGTTTGTATGTAACTGTAGTGAGTTTGTATGTAACTGTAATGAGTTTGTATGTAACTGTAGTGAGTTTGTATGTAACTGTAATGAGTTTGTATGTAACTGTAATGAGTTTGTATGTAAATAATGAGTTTGTATGTAACTGTAATGAGTTTGTATGTAACTGTAATGAGTTTGTATATAACTGTAATTAGTTTGTATGTAACTGTAATGAGTTTGTATATAACTAGTGAGTTTGTATGTAACTAGTGAGTTTGTATGTAATTGTAGTGAGTTTTTATGTAAATAATGAGTTTGTATGTAACTGTAATGAGTTTGTATGTAAATGTTATGAGTTTGTATGTAACTGTAGTGAGTTTGTATGTTCCTGTAATGAGTTTGTATATAACTGTAAGAACTTTGTAGGCATTAGTGATAAATTAGTAGATAATATGAAATAATTAGAACAGTAGGCCATGTAGATAGGGACACTGTAAAGAACCCTCACTGTGGACTAACATCGATTGACCGCTGATTAAGAAAGAGCGACGAAAGTGTCTCTTGAACTACGGGGTAACAGATACAACTAGTTCACCTGAACATTGATTAATCATTAGTAAAGGTAATTTATACATGATAAAAAATGATAAATGGATACAAAATTACTACAGTAAGATAAAAGAATCTGGTCCCCACGCCACACAAAAAAAAAACCAGAAATATGTTTAAAATGTTTTTCTGAACCAAAATATCGTGTACATTTGTACGTGTATCTCCATTCGCTGTGAAAGACAAGATTAATCCTATAATAGAGGACCACATCGAAATGTATAGAGAATACATGGTCAGCTTCTTAATAGAAAATATTTACTGAGCTGTATTTTGGCGAGGGCGAGCCTCAAACAAGCCAGTTTTGTCTTTCTGTCCCGAGCCAAAATGCAGATTATTTTTAAGACACTGACCATGTATTCTACTTATCCTGCAAACATCGACTGAGAAGCAGGCCATCACAACTTCAACAGTTTTGTTGTTCAATCTTTGTTTACCTGACGTTACGCTAAAACTCAGCCTGACGACTTACTCTAACATAATTGTTATCACTCCAAACTTCGATGGATGTGACAGCGATTTTAGGAATTTTCGTAAATAAACTTTTTTATTACGACATATTAATTTGCTTATTTCAACATTTTTCTTCTTAAACGTAATTTTTGAGTAAATTAATTAAGTATTTCTGTTGAATTAAGACAAAAATATATGTGACTGACGTATTCTGATAGTGGAAGCACCAGTTACACGATATTTTTTTCATCTGGCGGTCGCCACATAAATGACAGTTATGAGGGCAACACGAGGATAAATATGTGGACAAACGAGGATTAAACCAGCATTTGTTGAACTTTGGGCTAGTGGAAAGTAGAAAAACTAGGGGAGACAGCCATCCTGTGAAGACGAGTACTGTTAGGGGACTATGTAGAGAAGTAAATAAAGCTAGTTCGTCATTAATACAATGGCCATTTTGGTGAGTATTTCTTTGATATTTAGGACAACTTTTTTCTCCAATTTATGTACTGAAAATTACAAATTTTATTTTACATACTATGCGGTGTAGCGCATATCCCTATTCTTTTATTTCAACAATTTTTGATGGTCCTTAATTGTCGCCTTGCAAGTTTCAATGCCTTTCAATTAGGTATACAGAATCAACTATCAATCTTAATTAGGAAGAACAAAATAACACAGTATAATTCATCATTTAGTTGTATTGATAATGAAAGTTACTACAATGACTTATCGAATTTTAGCGATTTAACATATCATTAATTACAGCAGGGATATCTCTAGTTACTGGTTACAGATGGAACGTAGAATTACACGTCCCTGGTAACGGAGGGAAGGTAGAGTTACACGTCCCTTGTAATAGAGGGGAGGTAGAATTATACGTACCTTGTAACAGAGGGGAGGTAGAATTACACGTCCCTTGTAACAGAGGGGAGGTAGAATTACACGTCCCTTGTAACAGAGGGGAGGTAGAATTACACGTCCCCTGTAACAGAGGGAAGGTAGAATTACACGTCTCTTGTAACAGAGGGGAGGTAGAGTTACACGCCCCATGTAACAGAGGGGAGGTAGAATTACACGTCCCTTGTACCAGAGGGGAGGTAGAATTACACGTCCCTTTTAACAGAGGGGAGGTAGAGTTACACGTCCCTTGTAACAGAGGGGAAGTAGAATTACACGTCCCTGATTACAGAGGGGAGGTAGAATTACACGTATCTTGTAACAGAGGGGAGGTAGAATTACACGTCCCTTGTAACAGAGGGGAGGTAGAATTACACGTCCCTGATTACAGAGGGGAGGTAGAATTACACGTCCCTTGTAACAGAGGGGAGGTAGAATTACACGTCCCTGATTACAGAGGGGAGGTAGAATTACACGTACCTTGTAACAGAGGGGAGGTAGAATTACACGTCCCTTGTAACAGAGGGGAGGTAGAATTACACGTCCCTGATTACAGAGGGGAGGTAGAATTACACGTCCCTTGTAACAGAGGGGAGGTAGAATTACACGTCCCTGATTACAGAGGGGAGGTAGAATTACAGGTACCTTGTAACAGAGGGGAGGTAGAATTACACGTCCCTTGTAACAGAGGGGAGGTAGAATTACACGTCCCTGATTACAGAGGGGAGGTAGAATTACACGTCCCTTGTAACAGAGGGGAGGTAGAATTACACGTCCCTGATTACAGAGGGGAGGTAGAATTACACGTCCCTTGTAACAGAGGGGAGGAAGAGTTACACGTCCCTTTTAACAGAGGGGAGGTAGAGTTACACGTCCCTTGTAACAGAGGGAAGGTAGAATTACACGTCCCTTGTAACAGAGGGGAGGTAGAATTACACGTCCCTTTTAACAGAGGGGAGGAAGAGTTACACGTCCCTTGTAACAGAGGGGAGGTAGAATTACACGTTCCTTGTAACAGAGGGGAGGTAGAATTACACGTCCCTGGTTACATATCAAGATTATTTTGTAGTGAAAAACAGAGTTAACTCCCCTGAATTATTCAACTCGTAGAAAAGAAAAATGGCGTCGGTTTTGACTTGCTGCTGAAAAAGGAAGCTCGAAATCAAAGGTAAAGACGGGATCTCGGTGAGTTGTTACTCGTAAGTAATCTTATAATTGTAAAAACGAGTATTTAATAATGGTTGTGATTGAATGGAATGACATAATGTACCAGTAGACAATCAAAAGGCAGGCAGTGCTGCGTTGCACCGGTGTTACCGGTAAAATATACCAACTATCTTAGTGCAAGTTGAGCCGCGGGAACTCCTTCGTTCGGGAAAAATTGTATTTGGGTTAAATCAAATTAAGTCCATTTCAATGCATGTGCTGTGATATAACATATGGGTTATGCAATATGTATTGTGATTTAGGTGTTTATGTGCTAAATAGAAAGCATTTTATGTGTGAAACTGTTGGTAGTGGGGGGGTTCTGAACTAGTACTGTACTAGTACTGTAGCATGAAATATAGGCCAAATGTACAAATGTACATGTAGATTGAAAATAGTAAGGTATTTACTGTATACTGTACATGTATATATGCTTATACATCTCAAGCTAAAAATAGTTTTCTAATGCATTCACACTCTTCCACCCACAGGTTCCGAGTACATCTAAAGAGTAAATGTAAAATTTCATTTGTATATTGTAAAATCAATATTTTTTGCAGAGATTTGAACTTAGTTGAATTACCAAAGGCAAGAAAGAGCAGTTTGAAATCACAAGAGTGGAAAGCTGGATTGTATCCAGTGGAAATCCTGTCCAGTCCAGAAGATGGTTATGTCAAAGTTCATTTTACAGGTATGTTGTATGTAGTAAATACTATTGATAATTATTGCTTTCAGCATTTTGTTGACTTTTTTATTATTTATTTTTAACTGTATACATATAATATATGCATGCATAAACTTTCATCATTAGGTGTGTAACATTTAACACAGGCTGTTGAACAGTAACAGTTATGTTCTATAACTTAAAAACAAAGTACCAATGTTATACCATTAATTAAGAATCTTCAGGATTTTTTTTAACCCAAGTCTCCTTATATATATATATGCATAAATATGTGATCATTAACACTTTCGATACATGATTAATATTATATCATTATATATAGAAAAATCTGTATAATCAAATGTAATCTTTCAATTCCTCTAATCTTATGTCAGCCTTGTAAATACTAGCTGTTTCCTACCAACTCAGCTAGGGAGATCTTGTTAGCTCATTCGGTAAAGTGCAACACTAGTTAGCGAGAGCAGGGACATATAATACGTATACTCTGTTATATACGTCCCTGGTGAGAGGTCCCGAGTTCGACTCCTAGTGAGGCATTAAGAAAATTAATAATCTCTGTTACTCTTATGATAGTTTCTTCTGCTTTTTCTACTTCTTCTTCATCTTAAAATAATTATCAGGTATCAATGGTTCAATCATAGTAATACATTTTTGTTTGAAAACATTAATTTTAAAAACTACCTGGAGTAATACCTCCCTTGACAAAATAACACTATGGGATCATGTAACATGTAATTAAATGAAACACAAAACATTTTTCGAACAAAATGTTACAATGTACCTTCTCGTTTAACTCCCTGCCAGAAATTGTGGGTATAGGGGGTAAAGGGTAAAGCCTTGCCTATATCCTGTCCGGATTCAATTAAAGCACTTTTTTAAATTAGCAGCTTCATTCTTGAACGGATATTGGAGAGGTGGGAGGGGGAGAGGTGGGAGGTGGGGAAGAGAAAAAAAATTGATTGAAGTCACTTCAAGCTAATAATTCAATGTAAATGGTTTTTGCACACTAGATCAACAGGTGTATTTGATAAAATGCATTGTTGAAATTTGTTGTCATAGTTTATTTATGATGTAAAATCTTTATTGATAGGATGGAGTGCAAAGTACAACACTATCATCAAAGAGGCAGAACTTGAGACTAATGAATGTGAGGGGACACAGTCAATTGTGAATGTGGGTTCAATGATCAAGGACAGTCTGACAACAGGTTCAAGACTGGACAGCATTGTAAGGCTAAAAACTCCTATGGATGAAAGGGATTTTTCTTGTCTTCAAGAAAAGCTACACATGTTAAAAAAAACAAAAACAAAAACTGTGTACAGCTTAAGGTCACGCTTCGACTTGAACTCTAATTTTGGGAAACATTGGGATTTTAGGATACTTAATAAGGAAGGAGATTGTGTTTATATTAAAACAGCAACAGTTAAGATTTATCATAAATCTCTAAGAGAATCCAAAGAATTTGTTGTCCGAAAGACTGGTGGTCAGCTCAGGATTGAAGAATCATTTCGGCCAAGGGGCAAACAAGTCATAGTTAGTTTTGTGAAGTGCACTGGCAACTACAGAATGTTACCAAATTTGATGGATGACCCTCTCTTGTAATGCCAAAGTTAACATTTAAAAAATGATCATCATTTCTAGAGAAGAACTTTTTAATATACTATTGAAAAACTATTGGAATAAACCATTAAATATACCAACTGTTAAAGAAATATCAACAGCTATTGAAAGCATCTGTACATTGAAATTTCTCCCAGATGAACAAAGTTTGAAATGTTTACGTGCTGAACTTTTTAGGCTTAAACAAAATGGTTTACAAGCAAAAGTGAAGGGTGGGTCACAATTTAGAAAGTTTAAAGAACAATTAAAACATTCCAAATATAGTTGGGACGTCAAAGTTGATAGAGAAGAAACTCAGTTTTTAGTTGATAAAATAAAGGCTGATACTGAAAAAGATCTAAGGGATAAAGAAAAAGAAAACAAAGAGTTGAGGGAAAAGTTATGTAATTTAAGTGCAGTAATTGGTACTCCTGAAGTGAAACCTATAAAGCGGAAAGCATTTGCTGATTGCACACCTAGTTGGCAGTCCAAAATTAGGAAAAAAGATGAAGAACATTGTAAAAAAGCACTGTCATTTTTAAAAGATTCAGATGCTGTGCCTGTATCTGTCACAGTGGTCAGGAATGGAAAAGAGGAGGTACTTAGATTGTATGAAACTGGTGAAAATAAGGAAAACCAGTCACTGGAGGCAAATGAAACTTTGGATGATTTGAATGCTCTGATTTACATTTTAGATACATTTAACATCAGTAAAGATGCATATCATGAGTTGAGTATGGCATTTAAAAACCTCCCAAGACTTAATGCTGTTAATAAAGTTCTTTCAGATTTAAATTCAAAATTTGATATCATCCAAACTCCAGATGGACTTGGTGTTCAGCAGAGTTTGTAAAAACATTTACATGACATACTTTCACATAAGATTAAAACTGACAAGAACTTTGCCCCTGCAGGTAAGGTAAAAATTAAAATATCAGGGGATGGTACAAATATAGGGAAAATGATTTATGTTGTTAATGTTACTTTTCCTATTGTAAATGAAGAAAGGAGTGCATCAGTCCGGGGAAACTACCCTTTGGCATCATACGAACTGCAGAAAAATATAGTGATCTAGTATTGGGTTTATCAGATTTGGTTAAGGAAGTTGAGGAACTAGATGGAAATTGGTCTATGGTTGATCCATCCAAAGGAGCTAGACTTGAGTATAAGTGTGAGGAATTGGTACAATCTTCATCACTAAAGAGAAAGAAGGTCAACAAGGGTTTTTTTTCTGTGAAGAATAAGCTACTTTTTCCAAGCATTACTCCAAATCGTGTTGTTATAGACCATTTGCATATGTTTTGAGAATATCTGACAAATTGTTCAATCTTCTCCTTTCTGACTTAAGATGCTCAGATAACATAAATGAGAACTCCACATTTACAAGTGTGCACGAGAAGAAAGACAAACTGAAGCATGTTTTGAAATTAGAAAATGTGCTACAGCAACTTGGAATACATTTTGAGATAGGTGTAAATCAAGAAACAAAAGAAATTGGACTACAGACACCTTACAGGTCCAGAGAAGTGTGTTTTGTTTGACCATTATCATGCATCAGATTTGTTTGAGGATAAGGACAGAGCAGCAGAGATTCAGGAATTATGGGATGGCTTTAAAGACATAAATGAGTTAATAAAATCTGAAAATCCAGACCCTGATGAGATTGAAGCGAAGGCAAACAGCTGGTGTGCTCTTTATATACAGGTGTATCAAACAAGAGATATTACCCCATACATACACTTGTTGAGATATCATGTGGGAGAGATCATTAGAACTCATGGAACCATGGTAAGATTTAGCCAACAAGGACTAGAAAAACTCAATGATAATATAACAAAGCAGTTTTTTAGGGGATCATGTCATAGAGGATTACCTGCATTGAAGCAAGTATTAGAGAAACAAAATCGGCTCTTATTTCTCGAGGGAAAAGAGAAAAGGACAAAAGAAAGTAGGAAATGTTCAAACTGTCATGGTGCAGACCATAACTCAAAGTCATGTGCCAAGTAGTTTTCTGTTTGTATCTATTAAAAATGCAGCATGCTTCCTTAAAGTAAAATCCAACCTATATTGTATTGAGGATGTATAACTGCCAGTTATTTGTTGATGTAAAAATTAATACCTGCAGATATAAAAAAAAGGCATTCCATTAATATGAAAGTGAAATATATGACTGCATTAAATACATGTACTGAAATGCAGTTTTTGTTGAAGTTTAACATGCAAATGCATGTATAGATTTGTTTATCTCACGTGGATCTTGGTTTATACATGTAGGTCCTATGTAATTTTATAATTGCTTTATACATGTAATCACCTTTTTCTGTTATATTTTATTCCTATTTTTTTTCATTTATTATTATTGTTTTTGTTATCAGTGCAAAGCAGCACGTCATTTTTTCAAATAAATTTTGATTGCAAAAATTAATGGTACTTAAGCTGAGAAGGATAAATTTCAGACGCAGTGCAGAATACTCAGGTAGAAAATTGCGTCAACACCGTTTCGAAAAATAGCCGTGAAATCCTTTAAAAACGGCGGAAATCCTGTCTTTTTAAATCCGATTTTTCATTGGTCAAGGGCGTCAAGGTCTCAATGACGTTATCCTATTTGTAATAGACGATTGGTTCCGAAGATCAACATGTTTTTTATAGAATAAGCAGGACGGTGTGGTATTTCCTATTGATAAGTTGGGTACACTAGTACCTTACATCGCTGTCAGTACGGACGATTTTCGTTATATTGCAAGAAGATTACGTAATTAAACAATGACCAAATATTCAAAGAGAAACATCCAGTTTGTAATAGAGATTCTGAGAAGTGGCCTTGAAAATAAAAACAATTTGTTGTTGTTGTGTTAGTGTGTATGTGTATTACCGACCTCTACTGCTTTATCAGGGTCATATAATTAGTTTTATTTAACATCGAGCTAAGTGACGTGGCGGAACAATGTTTCCAGGGGAGAGGGTTTGTGTAGTAATTACCACAACACTAATCCTGTTGTACTACACAAGCCACCTTCCTTACAAACACTAATACATTCCTTAGTTAGTAGTCCACATAATATCGCCAGGTAACATATGGACCATGGACTGGTGATCCGTGTCAAGACCCTGTACCACCACCAGAGTTTCCGAATGGAAAAACTCTTGATACTGTTTCATTTCGTCAAATCGTAACTTTGGGATTTTACATGTTACATTATGATCACTCCGTATAATTTCCGTTCCTAAATTTGTATGTACTTTCGGTTTTAAGACCGGAATTTTTTCGTGTCAAGGAATTTTCATATTTGATATAAGGTTAAAGTTGAACTTATGACAATGTGACTTTCTTTGTCGATGTGAACCAACTGATTTTCGTAACGACAATCTGTATGCTGCAATCTGTATCTAATTTATAATCGAGGTATGTACGTAAAATGATCTTCCCGTCGATGTTGTCTAACTGTTTACCATAGCCTACAATAATTCACTTACAATAATATTTAGTGTATTGACAGACGAGGCTGGTACATAGGGTACATGTAATTCAGCAATTGATAATGATTAATATCGCTTTAACAGTTCCTGAATTCAGAATTAGATTTGAAAATTCCCGTCATCACCTTATACCAGTGAGTACCTTAGCAGTGACACAGGTATGAAACATAAGGAAAATAGTACTAATATCAATATACAGTTGTACTAGAGCATGTCTAGAATAAACCACTTCAACAGTAATCTCACGGCATTATAATATGTATCTGTTACAAAGATTTGGAATATAAACCATCGTGTCTGTTTGTTAATGGAAATATAAAACACTTCACTGAAAGTGTCACCTTATCCCATATGGAGACTAGATCATATCTGAATTAACCTGGACATGGTGGAAAACTCATTCTCCTTCAATAAGTTTCTCTTGAGACCACGGACCTAGTAAATTCTACAGCATATACAATGTAGATGTGAGGATTGACCCACCAAAGTGTTTCCTTCAGCCTGTGGCTGTGAGAAACAGTTCACTCTACTGGTCCCATTTCCTTCAGCCTGTGGCTGTGAGAAACAGTTCACTCTACTAGTCCCATTTCCTTCAGCCTCTGGCTGTGAGAAACAGTTCACTCTACTGGTCCCACTTCCTTCAGTCTGTGGTTGTGAGAAACAGTTCACTGTACTGGTCCCAAAAATTTGTATATAACTGCAGGCAGTTTGTTTGTATGTAACTGTAATGAGTTTGTATTTAACTGTAGTGAGTTTATGTAAGTGTAATGAGTTTGTATGTAACTGTAGTGAGTTTGCATGTAACTAGTGAGTTTGTATGTAAATGTAACGAGTTTGCATGTGACTGTAATGAGTTTGCATGTAACTGTAGTGAGTTTGTATGTAACTGTAATGAGTTTGTATGTAACTATAGTGAGTTTATGTAAGTGTAATGAGTTTGTATGTAACTGTAGTGAGTTTGCATGTAACTAGTGAGTTTGTACGTAACTGTAATGAGTTTGCATGTGACAGTAATGAGTTTGTATGTAACTGTAGTGAGTTTGTATGTAACTGTAATGAGTTTGTATGTAACTAGTGAGTTTTGTATGTAACTGTAGTTAGTTTGTATGTAATTGTAATGAGTTTTTATGTAACTAATGAGTTTGTATGTAGCTGTTATGAGTTTGTATGTATGTGTAGTGAGTTTGTATGTAACTGTAATGAGTTTGTATGTAACTATAGTGAGTTTATGTAAGTGTAGTGAGTTTGCATGTAACTGTAATGAGTTTGCATGTAACTGTAGTGAGTTTGTATGTAACTAGTGAGTTTGTATGTAACTGTAATGAGTTTGTATGTAACTAGTGAGTTTGTATGTAACTGTAATTAGTTTGTATTTAACTGTAGTGAGTTTGTATGTAACTGAAGTGAGTTTGGAAATCTTAAGTATTGGAGTGTAGGATAAAGGAACTCATTAGTTACACAGACTTTAAATTTTTATTAGAGAATGTTTACGTTTTACAATTTGATCTGTTTCACAGGCAAAACAAAATAAAATAAATAGAATCATAGTAGAAATTGGATTCTAATGGTTTCTTTGGAAATTGTTACATGCAGGAATGCATGATTTCCTTATAACTGTTGTATAGGCTGGTTGTATTGTAACAAAGTAAATAAATGCTGTCATTTTGATGATTGGTTAAAACTAAGGTACATTTATTAATAATTTTCTGAACAATCGTTCTCGATTAGTTGAAACAATTGACAATTTTGATCTTAATTTCCTTCATCGTGTATAATGATTGGTTATATGAAGCATTGAATGAAATCATTCTCAAAGTTATGGAAACAATGGAATCAAAATTTAAGAGTTTACTGTAAAAGGAAATTTCTATGGAGCTTCAAGTGAAGGAATTTGAAATAATATCAGTTTAAGAAAACTCTGCTATTATGAACTGGGGACGTATTCACGAAACCATTCTCATGCTCAAACTCAACTTTAGTCCTCATGCTCAAGTCAGTGCTCCAGTGAGAATGAACTAAAACCTCATATTCCTCAGACTATACCTACAACAGTGGTATTGTGTATATCATATAACAAACTTCTAGGAGGAACACACTAAAAATATTCAAATATATCATATTCAACCAGATGGTAATTTTTTCTGTCTCTATTTGACAATAAGGGATCATTTGTAAAAATGCAGCGTCCAGTTTAGACCTGATTAATCAGTTACAATACTCATTAGTTTTATAAAAAAAATCTATCAGAACTTTAATAGATTCACATAATGACCTGATTAGCTGTCAGGAGTTTTTCTTATATAATTTTAAAATATTTAATGTAAACTGCAACAATATTATATAATTCTGAAATATTTAATGTAAAGCTAAAACAATATTATATAATTCTGAAATATTTAATGTAAACTACAACAATATTATATAATTCTGAAATATTTAATGTAAACTACACCAATATTATATAATTCTGAAATATTTAATGTAAACTACAACAATATTATATAATTCTGAAATATTTAATGTAAAGCTAAAACAATATTATATAATTCTGAAATATTTAATGTAAACTACACCAATATTATATAATTCTGAAATATTTAATGTAAACTACACCAATATTATATAATTCTGAAATATGAAATATTTAATGTAAAGCTACACCAATATTATATAATTCTGAAATATTTAATGTAAACTACAACAATATTATATAATTCTGAAATATTTAATGTAAAGCTACAACAATATTATATAATTCTGAAATATTTAATGTAAAGCTACAACAATATTATATAATTCTGAAATATTTAATGTAAACTACAACAATATTATATAATTCTGAAATATTTAATGTAAACTACAACAATATTATATAATTCTGAAATATTTAATGTAAACTACAACAATATTATATAATTCTGAAATATTTAATGTGAACTACACCAATATTATATAATTCTGAAATATTTAATGTAAACTACAACAATATTATATAATTCTGAAATATTTAATGTAAACTACAACAATATATAATTCTGAAATATTTAACGTAAACTACAACAATATTATATAATTCTGAAATATTTAATGTAAACTACACCAATATTATATAATTCTGAAATATTTAATGTAAACTACAACAATATTATATAATTCTGAAATATTTAATGTAAACTACAACAATATTATATAATTCTGAAATATTTAATGTAAAGCTACAACAATATTATATAATTCTCAAATATTTAATGTGAACTACACCAATATTATATAATTCTGAAGTATTTAATGTAAACTACACCAATATTATATAATTCTGAAATATTTAATGTAAACTACACCAATATTATATAATTCTGAAATATTTAATGTAAACTACAACAATATTATATAATTCTGAAATATTTAACGTAAACTACAACAATATTATATAATTCTGAAATATTTAATGTAAACTACACCAATATTATATAATTCTGAAATATTTAATGTAAACTACAACAATGTTATATAATTCTGAAATATTTAATGTAAAGCTACAACAATATTATATAATTCTGAAATATTTAATGTGAACTACACCAATATTATATAATTCTGAAATATTTAATGTAAAGCTACAACAATATTATATAATTCTGAAATATGAAATATTTAATGTAAACTACAACAATATTATATAATTCTGAAATATTTAATGTAAACTACAACAATATTATATAATTCTGAAATATTTAATGTAAAGCTACAACAATATTATATAATTCTCAAATATTTAATGTGAACTACACCAATATTATATAATTCTGAAATATTTAATGTAAACTACACCAATATTATATAATTCTGAAATATTTAATGTAAACTACAACAATATTATATAATTCTGAAATATTTAACGTAAACTACAACAATATTATATAATTCTGAAATATTTAATGTAAACTACACCAATATTATATAATTCTGAAATATTTAATGTAAAGCTACAACAATATTATATAATTCTGAAATATTTAATGTAAACTACACCAATATTATATAATTCTGAAATATTTAATGTAAACTACAACAATATTATATAATTCTGAAATATTTAATGTAAACTACAACAATATTATATAATTCTGAAATATTTAATGTAAACTACAACAATATTATATAATTCTGAAATATTTAATGTAAACTACAACAATATTATATAATTCTGAAATATTTAATGTAAAGCTACAACAATATCATATAATTCTGAAATATGAAATATTTAATGTAAACTACAACAATATTATATAATTCTGAAATATTTAATGTAAAGCTACAACAATATTATATAATTCTGAAATATTTAATGTAAACTACAACAATATTATATAATTCTGAAATATTTAATGTAAAGCTACAACAATATTATATAATTCTGAAATATTTAATGTAAACTACAACAATATTATATAATTCTGAAATATTTAATGTAAACTACACCAATATTATATAATTCTGAAATATGAAATATTTAATGTAAACTACAACAATATTATATAATTCTGAAATATTTAACGTAAACTACACCAATATTATATAATTCTGAAATATTTAATGTAAACTACAACAATATTATATAATTCTGAAATATTTAATGTAAACTACAACAATATTATAATTCTGAAATATTTAATGTAAAGCTACAACAATATTATATAATTCTGAAATATTTAATGTAAAGCTACAACAATATTATATAATTCTGAAATATTTAACGTAAACTACACCAATATTATATAATTCTGAAATATTTAATGTAAACTACACCAATATTATATAATTCTGAAATATTTAATGTAAACTACACCAATATTATATAATTCTGAAATATTTAATGTAAACCTACAGTATGTGTGATTATGAGTCAATATATAATGTACACTGTATGTATATGAGCCATTACTTCACATGGGAAGTGGAGACATCACCTATCTGTTGTTTCTTCCTTTGAAATAATTTTCAGTATTATAGAAGTGATCGTACCACATTCTTACCTGAAACAGAGCAAATCACAGTCATTTGATCTTTTATTGATTTCTTATTTTGAAGGATGAGTTTCAATAATTTTGGGCAAGGTTCTGGAGGAGGTAGAGGGCCGGTGTCTGGAAACCCAGGAGGCATGGGAGGTATGACAGGATTTCCTGGGCAATCACAGGGACCAGATCTAGACCAGCTGCCCCCAGAATATGCTGGGTTAGCTAACATGAGTGAGGCAGATAGAAACGCCGCCTTAGAAGCTATACTAGGACCTGAGGGTCTGCGACAATTTCAGCAGCAACAACAGTTGGACAGAAGTAGAGGAATGGGTGGTCAGGAAGGTTTAGGCAACTTTCTAGGAATGCAAGGTAATCCAGGTGGCGCTGGGGGTGCCAGAACTTCAGGGAACATAAGACCTGATCCTTATGGAAGTGGAATGGATTTTGGAAGTAGGACTGTTGAACCTAATTCATTGGGTGGAAATAATGACTATGGAAGAAGTACAGGCAGAGGTGTAGGTACTGGAGGAAGCATGTACAACAGTGGCAACAGTAGTGGTGGAAATGAACAGGTTTTCAATACTCCACAAAATTTTTTTGGACAAAACCGAACAGGGTCACCCTATGGAGAGTCACAATTACCACCAACAGGTCAGTGTTAAAATGGTCTACACAAATTGGAGGTTTAGGATATTCTTCTCTGTCAGAAATCTGTAAATGAATTTTCATTGTAAGAAAATGCAGATTAGTTTGAACATAAAATAATCAAAACAAAATCTTGTCAGTTGTTACAAAGTCTATGAATCAGATGCTTTTGAAATCAATTGAAAAAACTGATATCAGTAACAGACGTGAGCAATACATTTGAATGTTATTTTCTTATTTAGGAAACAGAGGAGGTGGCGGTGGTCAGACAGACAACCAAGACCCAGCTCAGCAACTTATAGGCTATGTCCGAGCCACTGGTAGGTGAAACATACATGTAGAAGTATGTGGAGGTCTTTATCTGTAAAAAGAAATGTTAATTCTAGTAAAGTATATAATGTAGTATCTTTCTGTTGAACAATAGAGAAACTTTAAACAGTACAAACCCTCCTATACATATTATCACAGATGATCAGGGATTACTGATTGACGAATCAAGCGACCAAGTAGGTTCTGAAACGATTTATTTAATCATTTGTTTCACTAGTAATGTCTTGTTTTATCAACTTAGACTACATAAATATGTCTTATCAGGTCTTATTTATTCATAAATGTGTTACCTCAGTAGACTTATGTAGCCTATATAAACCTACCTTTATCTTATCAAGTTTTTGTCTTTTAATTGTACTGCCCAAGTAGGCTTGTGCACCTACTTTTATCTTACCAAGTATTTTGTATTTTTCAACTGTATTACCACAGCAGGCTGGTTAAGCCTGTAGTAATCCACTACCTGTATATGTAAAATAATTAATTAGGGGTCCTCCATCATGGGTTTTCAATCTAGAACTTTACTGGTGAATCTAAGGGAAATCCAACTAGAACTAGCCCTGTAGCTAGGCTGATGTTACATTTGTTTCTCTACCATGATGTATATATATAGTTAGCCCATTATTACTGCTTCCTTGTTACATGTTATCAGCTGTTGTCACAATAATTTCTTTTGAGCCGCATGTATATCTTTAGCCTGTTGCTACTTAAACCTCACGGAAGTTAACTGTTTTCAAACTGGTACTTATGAGGGGATGTTTGAGTGTATAGTGGGTGTCCTTACAGTACTATCACTGATAACCTATGTACACACAAGTTGATATGAATGCCAGTCTTTGTTTAATCATAATGTCTGCTTTGTAGAATATAGTTTTATTACATTTTTGCAAGTGAAATGTAAGTGAAGGAATCAATCAGTTTGATAAAAACTTATATGATCGCTACTGCAGTGGTGAGAAATTTTATTTCATCACTAGTGATGATACGATTATTCCAATTGTTATGTATCTTTTGTAGTTTTGACCAATCAGAACAGAGCTTTTGGTCACTGCTTTGGAAATAGCTGATTTTCTTGAACAGAACTGATGTAGATTAAGCACATGTTGATCAAGTTGGTTTATATAAAACATTCTCCATGTACGGTACATTTAGAGTTTCTTCTTATTTAGTATAAAAACGGCTTTGTAAACTGTTCTTACCAGACAACAGCATATGATGAGTACAGGTGGTAAGTGGCGCAGTGGTAACACACTCAACTTTCACTTAGCTGTTTGGGGTTTGATTCCCAGAATGGAGGTGAGAAGGAATTGGGTCACCTGCTTGAAAAAATGGGTACTCCTGTTTCCTCCCACATTTAGACCCCTCGCCCTCTTCCAACCAGGCCAACGAGAGTGATTAATATAAGTTGTAAAACTTGTGTCGCAATTGTTGTAAATAAATAAAGTTTATCTTGATGAGTGCCACATAGAGAGGCCAAATAAAATGGTGCCATGTTGTCAAGATCAATGTAGGTCAAACTATCAGATGTAAGAGAACATGCTTTGATTTCCCCAATTTTTTCACCAGCTTATTTTATTTTTATTATGATTGCATTTTGTTTCATTTGTTTTTCCTTTAAAAATGTAATTAAAAGAAAAATTTCATGGTTTCTCACTAAGAAACATATATATATCTCACTGGTGTCATATTATATATCACATACAGAACAGTTGAGGTGATTTACCTCTCAAACCCTGCAGGAGCAACGAGCAACGTGCAAGCAGAAGGAATTAAAACTATCCCACAATCCCACTTTAGCGATATCGCTGGAACATTGCTCCTTCAGCGATGATGAGCAATAGGGATCATAGGCAGCCATCTTTTTACCTGGACGATGATGAGCTATGGACAATTTTTAGGCCACCTTTCATTCTATTTACAAGTTTAGAAACATTTGTAATATTGTGCGTACTTCATCTTCATAAGCCTAGCACATGTTCACAGTCCATTTAACAGTCTTGTGATGCCTACTAACCTGCTTTTACTACAAAATCCTGTTCACCTTACCATGTGCCAGTAAACTGCTTCAGTTCTGTATTGTTGAAACATTGAACAAGAAGTTGTTTATATTTATTACTGGCTAGATTAATTTTGTCGTCCATATTCAGTAATCGACCTCTCCCCAGGTGGCGCTGGTGTATTCAATGGACAGGAATGATATAGAACACTTTTATATTTGAATCATATTATATCTAGTACTTAGTACTTGACTGAGTAATCATACAGATACAACAGAATTAACATAGACTCTTTATCAGTTTGATAAATGGTCTATCTGCATGAGCATCTTAACAAGTTATGTTTAAATGTAGGTTAGCCAAAAAAGTGACATCTGAAATTATGCGAATATGGTAACACATTTCCTAGTACGTAGCAATCAACACAAAGCTCACGTTTATGAAAGGAAATATTACCAAGAATATTAAGATTTACCTTGTGACGTCATACAGGGACATTTCTCGGTCAGCCTGGTATATTTACACTGTATTTCTTGTTATCTTTTAAAACTAGATGTTATTTGTAAGAAAGTGTTGATAAAGTTTACCTCACATTGTTACATGTAATTTATCATATACATCATATCATTACAGTTTAGATACATATATACTTGACATAGTCCGTGTTTAAACTTTGTATTGTTTTAAGAATACAGGAATGGGGCTGGGGTGGGGTACGGTGAGGTCCAGGGGGTTTTGGTGGACGTTAGGGATAATGTACTTTCTACAAAGCTCAAGGCAGCTTTTGAATGTAGAAATCCCAAATTTGTGGATTATTTCTTTCTCCTAGCAATATTACAATGAATAAATTAAAACAATACATAAATGTACCATTGAAAAAAGGTGGACATCATACTTGTAATCTGGTACATGTAAATTTCTTATATCTGTCTGTTACACAAACACTTAGAAAGACAGCTAAAATGTACAAAACAGGAATTTTATGATAGTATAGTAAGAAATGATAGATGATTTGTATAAAACGGAAATAAGAATTGTAGAAATTAATTAATTAATTGTAGAGTTAATATTCAAAATGCAGTTAATTACACATGTAGATGTACAAACATCTTGACAGTTGAAGTGATTACAGTCATATGTACTATATCGTTACCAAACGTGAAAACTGGAAATATTTCTTCTCCCATTAAGTCTACATGCATGTACGAACAAGTACATGTACAAATCTATTCTATTGTCACAGTATTGGATTTTGAAATTTTGACCAATATACACTCCTGGCTCATTCCCCTTGCGAAATTCAAAGTGCATGGACATGTTAACTTTAAGTCTGTACAAATTATTAAACAGGAATCGTAATCTATTATTGCAGTGAACATTATAGGAATTTCTCTTTGAGTAAGGCTTGCAATCTTTGACTTTTGAAACTTCAGTAACGTAAAATTGTCACTTTGTGTATTCAATGATCAGGACTTATGGCAGAATATGTAATATTGAAATTACATTGTAAGGTAATGATTCTAATCAGTGTCAAACCCTTAGTAAGTGGCCTTCCTGTACTCTGATTACATACAGGAATTATCAACATCTTTATACAACACGGTACTGCTGATAATTCCACTCACATCATGTATGCATTAACTTGTGAACAACTGTGTAATCTAGGAAAGTGGGAATGATTTTTCCAGGGATTTCACATGTTTGGGGCATTGCATGTCACAAGATTTCATACAGGATTTAACAGCAACTAAACAGAAGATTAGTGTGGTGCTAAATTCACAAACATTTGCCTTGTAGACATACAATTTACATGTACAGCAAGGTAACATCATAACCATGTGACAGTTCACGTTATTGTAAAAGATTAATTCCTGTTGCCCGTCATTGCGGCAATGTCTCATGGATTGATGTACATATATCTGAACTGTATATAGTAACTTAATCCCTGTCACCTGTCTTGCCCGCGTTGTTGTGCCAGCTGGATCTACCAATTTATCACACAATTCTGCTACAGTCAAATCCTTCAAATCCTGCCTTTTGGCTTGTATTATATCCAAATTATAAAACTTTGTTTCAGAACAAACCAAAGACTATTCCACCATTCAGTATTCAGATTTTCGCTCTGTTACAAAACACAAATATTGATATTGGCTTGTGATTTCACCTGAAGTTGACTTTTCACTTCATGCAATGGTTAAATCAAACACTGACAATTGTACCTTCTGTTCATTCTTCTCGCAATTGTAGTTAAAGTATGAAAATTTTCTACATTTATATACTGATGGTTCAAAAGATAATGATAAGGTTGCAGTGGCCATGGTGACAGAAGAAGCCTTTGGATGCCAGCTACCCAATAGCGCCTCAATATTCACGACGGAAGCGCGAGCTATCTACCTCGCCCTTGAAAATATTCTTTTCTGTACTACAAAGTCTTAGCAATAGAATATCGACAATATTTTCATTCGTAATACATGATATTATATATTGAACTTACCTCAAACTTTCCTATTGTTTTTTGCTGGGCACATAGGAATACCAGGCAATGAAAAAGCAGATCGTGCTGCAAAGGCTGCTACCACCCGTTTTTAAATTTCATTTTACTGATTTTAAACCATTTATCAAACAATTTTTAACAGCTCAGTGGCAAGAGGAATGGAATCAATTTACTAACAATAAATTGCACTCTGTAAAACCTATTACCGGTGAATGGTTTCCATGATATAGAGACAACCACCGAGACAAAGTTGTCCTTTCCTGTCTTTGGATGCTTACCTTACACATTCATATATGTTGAAATGCAAAGATAAATTCTTTATTTCTTAAATTTCTTAATTTCTTAATGGCACATCCCATGCATAGTATGAGATGAGCCATTCACCGTTAAACATTTTTTATTGGACTGCATTGACCTTCTGTCTACTCGAGAAAATTTTTATCCTAACATTACAAGTCTAAAGACCTTTTTGAAGCTGTTCAGATTTATAAAATTCTAGGTTATCTGAAAGATGTTTGTCGATGCTATAGCATATGACTTACTATTTCAATGTTTTGTGATTATTTAACCATTTGACTATTTATCATTTTCAGCATTTGTCTTTGATCTTCAAGTTCATTTGATGTTATTTCCTTTTGGATCACTGTGTTTTCCACCAGTTGATGACCCTAATGACATTTTATGTGTTGACAACTGTTAAGAACATATCAATAATAATAAGAATTATTCTATATTTCTCCCTACAGCTGAAAGTTGCACAGATCCAATAGCACAGGGAATGAACACCATTCTGATCCTAGATACCTCCAAAAGTATGTTGGGACAAGGCATGGAGCAGGCAAAGGCCGTCATCGAGGACATACTGACAGGTCAGTATCAATCTATCACAGTGATGACATAGAGGACATACTGACAGGTCAGTATCAATCTATCACAGTGGGGACATAGAGGACATACTGACAGGTCAGTATCAATCTATCACAGTGATGACATAGAGGACATACTGACAGGTCAGTATCAATCTATCACAGTGATGACATAGAGGACATACTGACAGGTCAGTATCAATCTATCACAGTGATGACATAGAGGACATACTGACAGGTCAGTATCAATCTATCACAGTGATGACATAGAGGACATACTGACAGGTCAGTATCAATCTATCACAGTGATGACATAGAGGACATACTGACAGGTCAGTATCAATCTATCACAGTGATGACATAGAGGACATACTGACAGGTCAGTACCAATCTATCACAGATCAGTAGGGACATAGAGGACATACTGACAGGTCAGTATCAATCTATCACAGTGATGACATAGAGGACATACTGACAGGTCAGTATCAATCTATCACAGTGATGACATAGAGGACATACTGACAGGTCAGTATCAATCTATCACAGTGATGACATAGGGGACATACTGACAGGTCAGTATCAATCTATCACAGTGATGACATAGAGGACATACTGACAGGTCAGTATCAATCTATCACAGTGATGACATAGAGGACATACTGACAGGTCAGTATCAATCTATCACAGTGATGACATAGAGGACATACTGACAGGTCAGTATCAATCTATCACAGTGATGACATAGAGGACATACTGACAGGTCAGTATCAATCTATCACAGTGATGACATAGAGGACATACTGACAGGTCAGTATCAATCTATCACAGTGATGACATAGAGGACATACTGAGAGGTCAGTATCAATCTATCACAGTGATGACATAGAGGACATACTGACAGGTCAGTATCAATCTATCACAGTGATGACATAGAGGACATACTGACAGGTCAGTACCAATCTATCACAGTGATGACATAGGGGACATACTGACAGGTCAGTATCAATCTATCACAGTGGGGACATAGAGGACATACTGACAGGTCAGTATCAATCTATCACAGTGATGACATAGAGGACATACTGACAGGTCAGTATCAATCTATCACAGTGATGACATAGAGGACATACTGACAGGTCAGTATCAATCTATCACAGTGATGACATAGAGGACATACTGACAGGTCAGTATCAATCTATCACAGTGATGACATAGAGGACATACTGACAGGTCAGTACCAATCTATCACAGTGGAGACATAGAGGACATACTGACTGGTCAGTATCAATCTATCACAGTGATGACATAGAGGACATACTGACAGGTCAGTATCAATCTATCACAGTGATGACATAGAGGACATACTGACAGGTCAGTATCAATCTATCACAGAGCTGTATTCTACATAGAGGACATACTGACAGGTCAGTATCAATCTATCACAGTGATGACATAGAGGACATACTGACAGGTCAGTATCAATCTATCACAGTGATGACATAGAGGACATACTGACAGGTCAGTATCAATCTATCACAGTGATGACATAGAGGACATACTGACAGGTCAGTACCAATCTATCACAGAACAGTAGGGACATAGAGGACATACTGACAGGTCAGTATCAATCTATCACAGTGATGACATAGAGGACATACTGACAGGTCAGTATCAATCTATCACAGTGATGACATAGAGGACATACTGACAGGTCAGTATCAATCTATCACAGTGATGACATAGAGGACATACTGACAGGTCAGTATCAATCTATCACAGTGATGACATAGAGGACATACTGACAGGTCAGTATCAATCTATCACAGTGGGGACATAGAGGACATACTGACAGGTCAGTACCAATCTATCACAGATCAGTAGGGACATAGAGGACATACTGACAGGTCAGTATCAATCTATCACAGTGATGACATAGGGGACATACTGACAGGTCAGTATCAGTCAAGGTCAGGACAGGCAAAGTGGTCATAATGATACCCGAAATAATTTCATATCAGTTATATTTTTATTCTTCACAATACATTTTGATCATCCATTATCTGAATTAGTATCTTACGTTATCTGAGTTTATCTTTATCTTACGTTATCTGAGTTTATCTTTATCTTACGTTATCTGAGTTTATCTTTATCTTACGTTATCTGAGTTTATCTTTATCTTACGTTATCTGAGTTTATCTTTATCTTACGTTATCTGAGTTGATCTTTATCTTACATTATCCGAGTTAATCTTTATCTTACGTTATCTGAGTTTATCTTTATCTTACGTTATCTGAGTTTATCTTTATCTTACGTTATCTGAGTTTATCTTTATCTTACGTTATCTGAGTTTATCTTTATCTTACGTTATCTGAGTTTATCTTTATCTTACGTTATCTGAGTTTATCTTTATCTTACGTTATCCGAGTTTATCTTTATCTTACGTTATCTGAGTTTATCTTTATCTTACGTTATCTGAGTTTATCTTTATCTTACGTTATCTGAGTTTATCTTTATCTTACGTTATCTGAGTTTATCTTTATCTTACGTTATCTGAGTTTATCTTTATCTTACGTTATCTGAGTTTATCTTTATCTTACGTTATCTGAGTTTATCTTGATCTTACGTTATCTGAGTTTATCTTTATCTTACGTTATCTGAGTTTATCTTTATCTTATGTTATCTGAGTTTATCTTTATCTTACGTTATCTGAGTTTATCTTATTGATGTTAAGATGGTGACAAAGGTGAAAATAATATGTGGTATATAATTACTATAAAAGAAAGTGTTTCATCAATATGTACTTTTTGTACAGGTATTGAGGACAACGTGATGGACAATGGTTTGGAAGAGAACCTAGCCCTTATTGTATTTGGAAAGGAAACTAAAGTGGCCCAACATCTGACTAATGACTACACCAAATTCAGGGAAGCTTTAGGTTAGTAGTCAGTCAGTTGTTTCTAAACAAGTGATGTGTGTCTTTACCAGTGATGTGTGTCTATACCAGTGATGTGTCTATCAGTGATGTGTGTCTATACCAGTGATGTGGCTGTCCCAGTGATGTGTGTCTATACCAGTGATGTGTGTCTTTACCAGTGATGTGTGTCTGTACCAGTGATGTGTCTACCAGTGATGTGTCTATACCAGTGATGTATATATATACCAGTGATGTGTGTCTATACTAGTGTGTGTCTATACCAGTGATGTGTGTCTAAATCAATGATGTGTCTATGTGTGTCAATACCTGTGATGTGTCTATACCAGTGATGTGTGTCTATACCAGTGATGTGTCTACCAGTGATGTGTCTATACCAGTGATGTGTCTATACCAGTGATGTGTGTCTATACCAGTGATGTGTCTATACCAGTGATGTGTCTATACCAGTGATGTGTGTCTATACCAGTGATGTGTGTCTTTACCAGTGATGTGTGTCTGTACCAGTGATGTGTCTACCAGTGATGTGTCTATACCAGTGATGTATATATATACCAGTGATGTGTGTCTATACTAGTGATGTGTCTATACCAGTGATGTGTGTCTAAATCAATGATGTGTCTACCAGTGATGTGTCAATACCTGTGATGTGTCTATACCAGTGATGTGTGTCTATACCAGTGATGTGTCTACCAGTGATGTGTCTATACCAGTGATGTGTCTATACCAGTGATGTGTGTCTATACCAGTGATGTGTCTATACCAGTGATGTGTCTATACCAGTGATGTGTGTCTATACCAGTGATGTGTGTCTAAATCAATGATGTGTCTACCAGTGATGTGTCAATACCTGTGATGTGTCTATACCAGTGATGTGTGTCTATACCAGTGATGTGTCTATACCAGTGATGTGTCTATACCAGTGATGTGTGTCTATACCAGTGAGGTGTGTCTATACCAGTAATGTGTCTATACCAGTGATGTGTCTTTACCAGTAATGTGTCTAAAACAGAGATGTGTGTCTATACCAATGATGTGTGTCTATACCAGTGATGTGTCTATAACAGTGATGTATATATACCAGTGATGTGTGTCTATACTAGTGATGTGTCTATACCAGTGATGTGTCTTTACCAGTAATGTGTCTAAAACAGAGATGTGTGTCTATACCAGTGATGTGTGTCTATACCAGTGATGTGTCTATACCAGTGATGTATATATACCAGTGATGTGTGTCTATACTAGTGATGTGTCTATACCAGTGATGTGTGTCTAAATCAATGATGTGTCTACCAGTGATGTGTCAATACCTGTGATGTGTCTATACCAGTGATGTGTGTCTATACCAGTGATGTGTCTACCAGTTATGTGTCTATACCAGTGCTGTGTCTATACCAGTGATGTGTGTCTATACCAGTGATGTGTCTATACCAGTGATGTGTGTCTTTACCAGTGATGTGTGTCTATACTAGAGATGTGTGTCTATACAAGTGATGTGTGTCTATACTAGTGATGTGTGTCTATACAAGTGATGTGTCTATACCAGTGATGTGTGTCTATACCAGTGATGTGTCTACCAGTGATGTGTCTATACCAGTGCTGTGTCTATACCAGTGATGTGTGTCTATACCAGTGATGTGTCTATACCAGTGATGTATGTCTTTACCAGTGATGTGTGTCTAAATCAATGATGTGTCTACCAGTGATGTGTCAATACCTGTGATGTGTCTATACCAGTGATGTGTGTCTATACCAGTGATGTGTCTACCAGTTATGTGTCTATACCAGTGCTGTGTCTATACCAGTGATGTGTGTCTATACCAGTGATGTGTCTATACCAGTGATGTGTGTCTTTACCAGTGATGTGTGTCTATACTAGAGATGTGTGTCTATACAAGTGATGTGTGTCTATACTAGTGATGTGTCTATACAAGTGATGTGTCTATACCAGTGATGTGTGTCTATACCAGTGATGTGTCTACCAGTGATGTGTCTATACCAGTGCTGTGTCTATACCAGTGATGTGTGTCTATACCAGTGATGTGTCTATACCAGTGATGTATGTCTTTACCAGTGATGTGTGTCTATACTAGTGATGTGTGTCTTTACCAGTGATGTGTGTCTATACTAGTGATGTGTGTCTATACAAGTGATGTGTCTATACCAGTGATGTGAGTCTATACCAGTGATCTGTCTACCAGTGATGTGTCTATACCAGTGCTGTGTCTATACCAGTGATGTGTGTCTATACCAGTGATGTGTGTCTATACCAGTGATGTGTCTATACCAATGATGTGTCTTTACCAGTGATGTGTGTCTATACTAGTGATGTGTGTCTATACCAGTGATGTGTTTATACTAGTGATGTGTGTCTATACTAGTGATGTGTCTATACCAGTGATGTGTGTCTATACCTGTGATGTGTCAATACCAGTAGAATGGTTGGTGTTATTGGATATTGGTCATGTGGTATATGCTAATTAAGTGCTTGCTTGGTTGATTTCATTTCATGTATGTTGTGTGTTTGTGACCTAATTTTGGGATAGTAAATGTCATTAAATACAGTCTTTGATATATAAATGAACTAATTCTACAGTGGCGTATTTAAACAGTTTTCTGTATTTGTAGAGAACCTACATCCAGAAGGACCATCAAGCATCTCAGACAGTTTAGTGATGACCTTAGGAATGAGTGAAAGAGGTAACATCAATTACCCATATTCAGAAGGACACTTCCTAAGTAATGAATCAACACAGACTAGGACAGTATAAACACACACACTGGACAAGGACAGTATAAACACCTACACTGGACTAGGACAGTATAAACACCCACACTGGACTAGGACAGTATAAACACCTACACTGGACTAGGACAGTATAAACACCCACACTGGACTAGGACAGTATAAACACCCACACTGGACTAGGACAGTATAAACACCCACACTGGACTAGGACAGTATAAACACACACACTGGACTAGGACAGTATAAACACACACACTGATAAACACCCTCACTGGACTAGGGCAGTATAAACACCCACACTGGACTAGGACAGTATAAACACCCACACTGGACTAGGACAGTATAAACACCCACACTGGACTAGGACAGTATAAACACCCACACTGGACTAGGACAGTATAAACACACACACTGGACTAGGACAGTATAAACACCCACACTGGACTAGGACAGTATAAACACCCACACTGGAATAGGACAGTATAAACACATACACTGGACTAGGACAGTATAAACACACACACTGACAAACACCCTCACTGGACTAGGGCAGTATAAACACCCACAGTGGACTAGGACAGTATAAACACCCACACTTGACTAGGACAGTATAAACACCCACACTGGACTAGGACAGTATAAACACCCACACTGGACTAGGACAGTATAAACACACACACTGGACTAGGACAGTATAAACACACACACTGGACTAGGACAGTATAAACACCCACACTGGACTAGGACAGTATAAACACACACTCTAGACTAGGACAGTATAAACACCCACAGTGGACTAGGACAGTATAAACACCCACTCTAGACTAGGACAGTATAAACACCCACACTGGACTAGGACAGTATAAACACCCACACTGGACTAGGACAGTATAAACACACACACTGGACTAGGACAGTATAAACACCCACACTGGACTAGGACAGTATAAACACCCACTCTAGACTAGGATGGTAACAACATGCTCACTAGACTTTGATGCCATTTTACTTATCATTTCAACACAGGCACTGAAGAGAAATTCTAACAACATTGGAACCAATGAATTTAATTTGTATAGAGTTAGTTTTTTAGTTCAGGTAGGTCATAACTCATTACTTTGATAAAGAAACAATTTTTCATCTAAGGTTAAATAGATATTTTTGAAACAAAGAATTAAATTTCTTTTATCATAACTGAAATAAATAATAAGTGATTTTGATATGCTAATAAATGTAGCTTTTCTGCTCAATAATAAAAAAGTACAATCAATAGATTTTGAAACTTGTTTCACAAACAGTAAAGGTATGTTTATTAATATGTTCTAACAGTATAATTATGTTAATGCAGAACAAGCAACAGGACTCCTGAAGTCTATCTTAAGTGACATTGATGTCTTCATTCACCTTTGAACAGTTGTCATTCAGGTTGATCTGTGTTAACATTTACACCATTATTGTTATTTTACAGGAGGTCATATAAACCTCGGCAGACATATTGCTAACTCACGAATCGTCATTTTGTCCGATGCACAGTTTACACGAAATGAGTCATCACCAATGTTTAATGATGCCATTGACTCCCAACATGTTAGAGAGGTATGTTTTGGTGTTTGATGTCCTAACTGGCCCTGCTGGCAAAGCAATGATTACAAGGAAAATAGACAAGCCACTTTAAATGTCCTTATAGTAATGGCAGAATTTTGTCCGTGTTTGGTCTGAAGCATCCTTGGTTGAAGAGGACTCAATACTATAAAAATAATGGTTGTGACCCCCTGGAGGCAGAGAGTTGGTGTCCATTAGGGAAAATAAGATCAATTGCCTTGAAATCCTTCTTTGTTGGAGTGTTGGGATTTTGTCCATGTTTGGTCTGAAGCATCGTTGGGTGAAGAGGTTTGTATTGTAAATAAATGCTGGGTCTGGGCACGATCTGGGCTAAGGAATGGAGCCTTATAGAAGGAACTGAGGTATCTCTATAAAAATCATCTTTTGTTTTGAAGGTATTTTAAGAAGCATCCTTCGGGGAAGAAGGATCCAATTTTGTAAAAATGGAGGGTTCTGCTCTCTTTACAATCCTTTTCTGTAGTTTTGATAAAGCAATTTAAGCAAAAAAAAAGGAAAAAAGGTGAGTGAAACAGGCCATTTGGGACACTTGTAACCGTTTTATTTTTCAATGAAGTTTACACAAAATTACTTCTATGTATTTCAGCAACAAGCTATACCAATAGTCCATAAATATGGATCATGTGGTAGGCAATAGTTAGTGTAATATAACCAGTATAAACAATATCACGTGGTAGGCAATAGTTAGTGTATATAACCAGTATAAACAATATCATGTGGTAGGCAATAGTTAGTGTAATATAACCAGTATAAACAATATCATGTGGTAGGCAATAGTTAGTGTAATATAACCAGTATAAACAATATCACGTGGTAGGCAATAGTTAGTGTAATATAACCAGTATAAACAATATCACGTGGTAGGCAATAGTTAGTGTAATATAACCAGTATAAACAATATCATGTGGTAGGCAATAGTTAGTGTAATATAACCAGTATAAACAATATCATGTGGTAGGCAATAGTTAGTGTAATATAACCAGTATAAACAATATCACGTGGTAGGCAATAGTTAGTGTAATATAACCAGTATAAACAATATCACGTGGTAGGCAATAGTTAGTGTAATATAACCAGTATAAACAATATCACGTGGTAGGCAATAGTTAGTGTAATATAACCAGTATAAACAATATCACGTGGTAGGCAATAGTTAGTGTAATATAACCAGTATAAACAATATCATGTGGTAGGCAATAGTTAGTGTAATATAACCAGTATAAACAATATCACGTGGTAGGCAATAGTTAGTGTAATATAACCAGTATAAACAATATCACGTGGTAGGCAATAGTTAGTGTAATGTAACCAGTATAAACAATATCACGTGGTAGGCAATAGTTAGTGTAATATAACCAGTATAAACAATATCACGTGGTAGGCAATAGTTAGTGTAATATAACCAGTATAAACAATATCACGTGGTAGGCAATAGTTAGTGTAATATAACCAGTATAAACAATATCATGTGGTACTCTAACATACTCTTGTATCCTGTAAAATTGTTTCAATTCCTGTAGAAATCATGTGTAACAAATCTTCTGTAGACTTGTTTCCTGTAGAAATCATGTGTAACAAATCTTCTGTAGACTTGTTTCCTGTAGAAATCATGTGTAACAAATCTTCTGTAGACTTGTTTCCTGTAGAAATCATGTGTAACAAATCTTCTGTAAACTGGTTTCCTGTAGAAATCATGTGTAACAAATCTTCTGTAGCCTTGTTTCCTGTAGAAATCATGTGTAACAAATCTTCTGTAGACTTGTTTCCTGTAGAAATCTGTTTTATTCTAATTGATTTATTCTTCTTTACAGTTAATTAACGAGGTGTCCCATCTAGCAAAGCAGGTGATTGATACTTCAGGATTACAGCTGTATTTTATCCCTGTGGGTGATGTAAATGATGTAAGTGATCAGTGTTACCCAGTATGTGAAAATAACATTGACCAGCTTATGACAATTATTTCACACTTTAAATGGAGGTTTGATCAGAGCAATTTCAGTTTTTCTTGGCAATGAAGAATGGATGTGTATAATATAATTGATGATTTTTTGTAAATTTGTCAACAATTTCACTGCTAGTATGCTTCACACTGGTTGTTTGTCTGATGAAAGTGACAGCATAATCATCGAAACATCACACTCAAATCTTCTACTGGTTGTGTTATAAGAACTATAAGGTGACTTTGTAATCATCGAAACATCACACTCAAATCTTCTACTGGTTGTGTTATAAGATGAAAGTGACAGCATAATCATCGAAACATCACACTCAAATCTTCTACTGGTTGTGTTATAAGATGAAGGTGATGGTATAGTCACGGAAACATCACACTCAAATCTTCTACTGGTTGTGTTAATCGTAAGTAGATCCTCTGTTGTAGTAGAAATATAGCTGACCTTATCTGTTGTTGTAGGTTATAATGCAGTCTGTGATAGGGGTTGCAGATGGCCAGGTGTGTCCAGCTAGTGATGCTAAGTGGATAATTGCTAAAAGATACCTCCATCATGTGAGTTACATTCTGGAGGAAATAATTGGATGTGAAGAGATGTGTTAAGTATTGCTCAGATAAACTTGATGTAACAGAAATGGAAAATTATGGTTCATATTTGATTTGTAATGAAATGAATGAGCAAATAGGATGTCTTGAATTAAATTGTACTAGCAAATATAATGTCTTGAATTAAATTATATTAGCAAATATAATGTCTTATGTCAAACTGATATATTGTTGTATTAATACTATAAAATGTTTGTAGATATAGTTCATATCATATAATATGGAAGGTATTACTGTAAACTAGAGTCGTAGATAGTTTTATATTGCTGTGAGGTGTATGTGTGTACAGATGATTACTGAGTGGATATTGGCGTACTCACAAGGCAGTGTACCAGACCGGACCATGATAGCAGAGGCAGCCAGACAGAAGTACCACGCAGTAGAAGATAGGGACATTGTAGGTTACAGTCACCTTTCACAAACACCACCAAACCATTGTCATACCACTTATCCTTTCATCTAGACAGCATTTGTTGCTTTTATTTTTTCAGTAATTGAGAAAAATTTTCAAACATTGGTTTATTTCATAGATAGTGATAGCTCAACCTTATTTATAAGAGTATAACTGGTGAGTACTTACAGTAATATCTGAAGCCACACCCTACAAACACACTTTACAGTTATATCTGAGGTCACACCCAACAATCACACTCTACAGTAATATCTGAGGTCACACCCAACAATCACACTCTACAGTAATGTCTGAAACCACACTCCCCAAACACACACTACAGTAATGTCTGAAGCCACACCCTACAAACACACTCTACAGTAATATCTGAAGCCACACCCAACAATCACACTCTACAGTAATGTCTGAAGCCACACTCCCCAAACACACACTACAGTAATGTCTGAAGCCACACCCTACAAACACACTCTACAGTAATATCTGAAGCCACACCCTACAAACACACTCTACAGTAATATCTGAAGCCACACCCTACAAACACACTCTACAGTAATATCTGAAGCCACACTCCCCAAACACACTCTACAGTAATATCTGAAGCCACACCCAACAATCACACTTTACAGTTATATCTGAAGCCACACCCTCACACACTAACACACACCCTACAAACACACTCTACAGTAATATCTGAAGCCACACCCACCAAACACACTACAGTAATATCTGAAGCCACACTCCCCAAACACACACTACAGTAATATCTGAAGCCACACCCACCAAACACAGACTACAGTAATATCTGAAGCCACACCCACCAAACACAGACTACAGTAATATCTGAAGCCACACTAATATCTGAAGCCACACCCACCAAACACACACTACAGTAATATCTGAAGCACACACACTCTACCTGAAGCCACAACACACACTACACAATATCTGAAGCCACACCCACCAAACACACACTACAGTAATATCTGAAGCCACACCCTACAAACACACTCTACAGTAATATCTGAAGCCACACTCCCCAAACACACTCTACAGTAATATCTGAAGCCACACCCAACAATCACACTCTACAGTAATGTCTGAAGCCACACTCCCCAAACACACACTACAGTAATGTCTGAAGCCACACCCTACAAACACACTCTACAGTAATATCTGAAGCCACACCCTACAAACACACTCTACATTAATGTCTGAAGCCACACCCTACAAACACACTCTACAGTAATATCTGAAGCCACACCCTACAAACACACTCTACAGTAATATCTGAAGCCACACCCTACAAACACACTCTACAGTAATATCTGAAGCCACACCCTACAAACACACTCTACAGTAATATCTGAAGCCACACCCACCAAACACAGACTATAGTAATATCTGAAGCCACACACAACAAAAACACACATATGTGAAAAAATAACCTGAAGCTACGCCCACTTTGTTATCTGTATAATATTTATCTCAAATCATTTCCCATCTAAGTAAAAAAATTATCTAAAAACCATAACTGCTCACCTGTCTAACAACCTGTGCTGCTTGTGTTTCAGGATGCTGTGATTAAACTAATTGAGGAGGATCAGAACCGACAGACTCAGGATCAAGCTGTTGGACAGGGAGTTGGTCGAGGCCAGATGACAGGTCAAACAATGGGACAGGGAACGATGCCCACACAGCTGCCAAAACCTAGTGGTCCCCCTGGCAGTCTGCCAGCAGGCATATTTGACAGAAGTTTCTCTCCTCCAAAAGGTGACATCTATAGATTGGTTATACATGTTATGAATTTAGAAAAAAGTAATTTGTTAGACCAGGGATAATAATATATACGTCGCTGATTAGAACAAAACTAAGTACACAGACTACACATTGGCTACAAATAACCAAAGATCAGTCAAAAACATGTATTACATGGCTGCATTATGTCTTCAAAAAGTGAGTTGAAATAAATTTTTCATATGCCTGCTAAAATTCTACTTTATTTTGTTGAAACCAATCACTTCCCTCTGTCTCTCTGTCAAGTTTATTGGACAAAATTATTTTGTAATGCTATGATCGTTGTTTGTGTAAATTTTCATGGTGATGATTTTCATACTTTAAGTTAATTAGGTTAAGTCTACCGTGAGCTCCGTAAAACACAATGTTACAGTGTTGATTCTTTACATGAATTTCCAGTTGGGTGTAAACTGGTTCTTTAACAGTATAGAAAGCTCAAATAAAACAAACCCCTTAAAGAATGCACATTTTCCAAGTCTGTCTTATGGCTTCTCTATAACAATTGCCTCCCTTCACCTATTTTGAAAATTGCCCACCTTTTTTTATTCTGGAACATCTGAAAAAAATTGAAGAAAAGTTCTGAAAGGAAATATAGTCTTAGTCACTAGAAAGGACATTTAAATTCATATTTTCACTTATTTACCAAAAAGTTATGATGGACAACTGCATGAAATTAAGTATGCATAGAGTTTAATTCCTGAATATTGTAGAAAATTAACACATCCTAACTTGATGTTTTATCAAATGATTAGAATATTAAAACTCAAAACTACCAGACACTTATTAAACTCAGAAAACTCCTAATATTTGATCACAGTTTAAATCATTGTATGAAGGAAACAGTAAAGCATTGGAGTTGAAACTTGTAGATTACATCATAGTGTAGGTATAGTGTATGTATTTACATTCTAGATCTAGATTGATGTTAACATGTCAGTAATCAGATGGAGTGAAAGATTTCTGATTATGTTTACAAAAATACATTGTCAATAAGCTATTTATAATAAAAAGTTTTAGATTTTTACGAAGTCATATTTTCTGAGAGTTATGATTACCAGCTTTAGTAGTATGTGATATGTTCTTTCATTTCAAACATAATTTGTAAATGATATTCATTGCAAAATGATTTAGAAATTGAAAATTTCAAAATTAGTTCTTGGCTAAAACCATGAGATTTTAAAAGGACAGATTAGAAAATTAAATTTCCTGATGTAAATAGACAAAGTACATTAAAACTCACTGACATACAATTATTCATTAAAGTCTTTTTTATTATTTCATATTAGAAGTGTCAATTTTCTTACATTTACTCCAGATATTGTCCAGTCATCTTCACAAAACTCCTTGCCATCAAGAACCATACCCTCTACGTCATCAGCATCCAACACTGTACTATATAATAGGAGTGGGCACACAGAGGTATCACCAGCTCAGTCAGCCTCCACGTCAAGTGCTGAGACAGCAGGTACTAAAGTGCCAGTGTATGACCTGAGCAACAAGCTCCTATCTAATCTCCCTAGTGCATTTAAAGTAGGGGAGGATGCAAATAGACAGCCAGAGGAGGTCACTCCAGCCACCATTGCTGCAAAAATATTAGACACCATGGAGGTTCCAAAGGAGCTAGAGGCAACTAGAGAGCGGACCAGGACACTTACCGATGATATTATTGAGGAAATGAAAAGGGATATCACAGCTGGAAGTGAGGCTCCAAAGCCATGGGATTCTCCATGTCTTCAAGAATTTCTGTTGATCAGGAAAGATGGAACCAAGATTGAACAGGATAGCGATGGCAATATCTTGGGTGATGATGAAGAGGCTGTACTAAGAAGGGAAGAGAAGGAAAAACGCAGACTGTTGTATAATGAGTGGAAGAAGGCTTGTGATAATGACCCAGAATTTGCTGCAGCAATGACAATGGATGATGACATTGGAGACTTGACAGAGGAACAAGTGAACCAGTTGTTAGATGATTTTGGAGGTGGACCATATAACGTTGACAACCTTCCCAATATGCCTGTTGTTGGACTGAGAGTGAAGCCGGGACCAGACTGGATGTGGAAATGTAATGATGTTGGTATTTGGGATAAAGGCACAGTTGTTAGTATTGATAAGGAAGATGAAGGTTTGTATATGTGTGTGCTCTCTGAGGACTACATAAACTGACATTGATGTTTGGTTCCTCTGTGTATAAAGTCAAAAACTTATGTAGTGGAATGTCATCTGACTAGCGCCTAGCCTGAGGTTAAGATAGCACAGAGGAGATCACATACTTTACAATGAAAACCTATCTTTTGTTCACTATTATCAGGTCGTGTAACCTACTTACAGTCTATTATACACCTACTGAGGTATGGATGTGTTGCTATTTTTAGTAACAAATTATTTCTATTTAGGCTACTTCATATGTTCGTGCTTGTGCAAATTGCGGTTTTGTCCGAACTGATAATTGTTATCAGTAACAACAAAAGATGGCCTTCCTTGTTAATAAATACTGCTGTGTGTTCCTAAATTAATAAAAGCTAATAAAATTATTATAGGATGGATTCGTGTGAAGTGGGATAAACACAATGGTCTTGAGGAAGACTATCGTTGGGGACTAGACTATGAATTTGATGTAGAACCTGTTGAAGGTGGAATGGCTGCTGTCTCCTGGCCAAAAGGCAAAGGTATGTACAGACGTTCAGTGTGTCATTTTATTTGATGTTTTCTGATTGATTGCCGTGTTGTCCAGTGTATGAAATCTGAGGATGTTACAAACATACAAAATACTGTCAGAGACATTAATGACAAACAGTTATACAGAATAGATCGGTATATATGATAATCTGTTGTACTGATTAATGACAAACAGGTATACAGAATAGATCGGTATATATGATAATCTGTTGATTCAGTACATAGGGTGAATATAAATTATAATAGTTTGTAATTAAGTTTTTATTTTATTTTTCTGTCTTAGAGAGAATAATCAAATCCACACAAGATATTGCTGATGAGTTTGGACCAAAACAAGTGGTAAGCTTTTGATATATATATATACCAGTGGCAAAAAGAAGCATAAGTTTGGTTTTTGTTATAGGACTTTAAGACACATAGATTAGATTTAATTAAATTTGACACTGAGCTACCTCTGTGCACTGTGAAAATGGACAATTTCCTTTTGAAGCGATTGTAGAGCGAAATGCTGCAATTTAGTGAAGTGGAAAGGGGTAGGGTCATTGCTTTCATTATGCAGGGATATTCGCAACATCATGTAGCCCTGCAATATGGTGTGGTGTACATGTTTAGTTGGGCATCTTAGAGCCATAGGGATATTGGGGTGACCTTTCCAGGGGTGGACGCATGCACGTGAATTCGCAAGGTCAAGATAGAGGTGTATGTCTCTGGCACCTCTGTAACTGATTTCCGATGATGATGGAGATGTCACGTCAACTTGTCGGCACTTATGGTCAGCCGATGTGTCCAAGAACGGTTAGAATCAGTTGCGGAAGTTTTATTTAAGGCCACAACGTCCCTATGTTGGTCTGCCACTTGCACCTAATCGGTTTCATTTGGCCTGTAGGAGACACGTGTCGTTCACTGACGAGTCTCACTTCACACTTTACAGGTCAGATGGACGACTACATGTCTATTAACATTGTGGAGAGTAATACCTGATGATTGCAAAATGGAAAGTTACAGATTCGGGGGAGGGTCTGTTAAGGTATAGGCAGGAATACTTAAAGGTGTGAAAACCTCTCTCGCGGTTATCTATGACATGATATCGGCATCAGGTCTTGAGACCACACATCCTTCCTCTTATCATCAATGTAATGTTACGCTGCAGCAGGACAATGTGAGGCCCCATGTTGTTAGGGGTTGCTGAAACTTTCTGGCTCAAAAAACGTCCCAGTTCTCGATTGGCCATCATACAGTCCAAATTCATCCCCAATCGAGCATTTGTGGGACGAACTGGACAGTAGGATTAGGAAGCTAGTCAGCGTCCCATATAACGTCACTAACTCACATAGGCTTTTGTTCAGGAGTGGTATAATATCCCTCAAAGGATTATAAACACCTTGATGGGGTCAATGTTAAGGAGAGTAAGAGCAGAGACTGAAGCCTGGGGTGGGCACACACACTACTGATTTGGATCAGGAAACAACATGAGGTACCCTTGCTTTAACGCTATTCACGAAAATGCTGTCTGTGATAGGACAACAAAAATTATCAAATGTATTCAGTAGTGATAAAATAATCAAGAAACCCAAACAACTAATCATCAGTGAATCAAAAATAATAGAAATAGTAAAATAAAAACTATTGATTAAATAGCACATGATCATACAGTTCAGCTACCTTAAGACCAATCAATAACATTGTGGGAATTAAAATCCATTGTATTATATCACAACAAATGATAATAACAGTCCGACATTGTTTTTTTTTTTTTTTAATTTGATTTTTTTATTCAATATAATGTACAGGTACATAATACAACAGTAGTATTTATAAATATGAAAAACACTCTCCCAGAATAACATACACATTTTCACTTCCCTGAATGCATGTATACATGGCTATACACATACAGATGAGCTTCTCTCAAAGAATATGTGCATGTCTACTCACACATGCCTATACATATAACATGTACATGCAATACAAACATGCACCCAGGCATACACCACACACCTAATAACACATACAGGTAAAGCCATGTATGCATCGTGTACATACACCACACTCGCACAGCCCGACATTGTTATTAATAAGAACTAAACTATAACAGCATTTCATAGTCTTATTTTCTGTAAAGATTGTTAATATGTCAAAAAAAGGGGGAATTTTTCCATGTTATTCTCACAGATTTCATATAATATAACCGTTTCTTACAGGAAAAATGCAACTTTGAAAACATATGGAGCTAAAGCCATTAACAAATATGAGTATATACAAATTAGATATTTAAAAAGACAAAAATAATTTCAAAGCTTCTGCAAAGACATGGGTAAAAATGAATGCAAGCCACACAGAAATAGATGCCAACTCGGGGAAGAACGGAAGTTACTCTTTGTCACAAAAATCTCAAGATAAAAATTATCTTTAAATCAAATTTGTGTGATTCCTTTCTTGGTCGTTTATTTTTATTGGTTATAAAATGCTTGTTTTGATTACTTAGCAATGCAAATATTAAATTGTTTCATCTGTTCTTTTTTTCAGAAAGAAAAACTTCGAAATTTGTAAGTTTTTTGTCCTTTTAAATCAGTCGTATCTAGTTAGAGCTCCCTTGCTGTTAATATATACGTAGATTACTTCAGCAAAATATCTCACAAGTTATGGAGACACTGAAGGAGTTGAATTTACCAATACACAAAACTATAATACAAAAGTAGCTTCTGTTTAGATTTTAATTTTGATTTTGAAAAAAATTTATTGTTTGAAATATTTCATTTGTTTATTAAATACTTTATCAGTACTGTCTTGTTGTAAGCTATACATTTTAAACAATTATTGTGATGAAGTTTAGAAAAAATATAGCTGCATTATCCACATGCAGTGTGGAAAGGTAAAGGTCAAGTTATGGGTGAAACGTTTGAAGTTTTGTTGTTTATCCTGTTACTACAGGTAAATTTTTTGTTATGTATAGGAATTATTGGGAGACAGATATCGCAATATTCTGGTGTGTCCTCTAAGTTTGGGAACATAATGATTTTGCTCCTGCAGATTCAGTTTTGTTATTTACGCTTTTTGTAGTTATTTCTTCTGTTTTCTGTCTGTCACCACTTCTCTTGAAAACAGAAGCAGAATTCATTGAAACATTCACATGAATATATAGGAGTGCAAATAATGTATCATTTTAGCTCAGAGGGTCAGGTGAGCTAAAGGGGTACTGTGTTTTCCATTCTCTGTTAACTCTTTAATACGTATTTATCATAAGTAGTCAACAATAGCTGCACCGATTTTTACCAAATATGGCCTGAAGCATCCTTGGGTGAAGTAGAATCAATTTTGTATGAATGATGGATCTCGGCCCCTTAGGGTGGAAGAGTTGCCATATGGTGGAAATTTAGCAAATTGTTTAAAATTCTTTAAAATATGAGGACATACTAGGTGAAGACAGTTTAGTTTTGAGCAAACAGTGCAGGTAACCTACTTATGGAGGAGGGGCCTATTATGGGGGAAAAGATACAAATGTTTTAAAGACTTTTAATCCAATTCAGCAAAATAAATAAGGTGAGCGATACAGGTTCTATGGCCTTCTTGTTTGATTGCTCACCATGGCAACTAAAAGCAGCAGTTTGATTGGTCAAAAACTAAATTTTGTCTGTTGTTGATAAACAAATGTATTTTGACACTAAGAATATATCTGTAGCATCCTTTTCTATCATGACTTCGGGGTCAGTTTTGGGGATATATGTGATGGTTCAATTTTAATTGATAGGGCCAGAGCAAGGAGGCAAAAAGAGAGGGCAGCTGAAGCAGCTGCCAGCATTTCTTCTAAATCAGGAGACAAACCTACTTTTGTGCAGCAGGATGTAAATGCCCTGAATCATCAGAATACTGCTCGCAGTCATCAGACAAGACCAGAGGAAGCAGCCTCCTCACTTCCACCAAGGGTTCCCAAAGCAACATCCATGCCACCTGTATCTACAACATCTACATCTGTAGCAACTGTATCTACAGCATCTACATCTGCGGCAACTGTATCTACAGCATCTACATCTGCGGCAACTGTATCTACAACATCTACATCTGCGGCAACTGTATCTACAGCGTCTACATCTGTGGCAACTGTATCTACAGCATCTACATCTACGGCAACTGTATCTACAGCACCAGTATCTACAGGAACAACCCACACAGTGACCACCAATGAAAAGGGGTCTAAAGACAGTGGCCAGTCGCTAGATGTCAGAGCTGCTTCAAAACCAAGTGAAAGTACAAAATGTAGATATATACTGGTAGTTTATAAAACAATCAAACATTTAAAAATAAATTCATTGTTGATATCTGAAACATATTCAGCTGTTCAAAAATTAGATGTGTATTGTAAATTGTAATCACTATGATGTTTAAAAGAGCATATATTTTAAAAGCCATTGCAACATTGATAAATTCTGACTGTTATATACAACATTGATAAATTCTGACTGTTATATACAACATTGATAAATTCTGAATGTTACATAAAACATTGATAAATTCTGACTGTTATATACAACATTGATAAATTCTGACTGTTATATACAACATGGATAAATTCTGACTGTTTTATACAACATAGATAAATTCAGACAGTTTTATACAACATTGATAAATTCTGAATGTTATATACAACATAGATAAATTCTGACTGTTATATACAACATTGATAAATTCGGACTGTTATATACAACATAGATAAATTCTGACTGTTGTATATAACATCGATAAATTCTGACTGTTATATACAACATGATAAATTCTGACTGTTATATACTAACATAGATAAATTCTGAATGTTTTATACAACATAGATAATTCAACATAGACTGTTATATATACAACATTGATAAATTCTGAATGTTATATACAACATTGATAAATTCTGAATGTTTATATACAACATTGATAAATTCTGACTGTTATATACAACATTGATAAATTCTGAATGTTATATACAACATGGATAAATTCTGAATGTTTTATACTAACATAGATAAATTCTGACTGTTTTATACAACATAGATAAATTCTGACTGTTATATACAACATGGATAAATTCTGAATGTTATATACAACATGGATAAATTCTGACTGTTTTATACAACATAGATAAATTCACTGTTATATACAACATAGATTTATATATACAACATTGATAAATATAAACATTAAATTCTGAATGTTATTATACAACATAGATAAATTCTGACTGTTATATACAACATGGATAAATTCTGAATGTTATATACAACATGGATAAATTCTGAATGTTTTATACTAACATTAAATTCTGATAAATTACTGATAAATGTTTATATACAACATAGATAAATTCTGACTGTTTTATACTAACATTGATAAATTCTGTTTTATACAACATTGATAAATTCGGACTGTTATATACAACATAGATAAATTCTGACTGTTATATACAACATAGATAAATTCTAAATGTTATGTTTCAGCTTGCTTTGTTTGGCAGTATATTAATGAACAAGGTGACTGGAAGAATTACCCTCCTGACATACAAAAACAATTGGAGGAAACTTACCTGAAACGTAAGGAGAAGGGAACAGTAATCATCCAGATGGAGGGACAGTTGTAAGTATATATCAAATTTTCTACAAGAAAGTGATGAGAAACAGACTGATTGTTTTGATCTTGGAGTTCTAACAAATTCCATGTTGGATCAGGTCCAGATGGGAGTGGATTTTATGTACAATGAATTCCTTTGAATTTCTCACAACGGTGAGCTCAGTGACTAGAAATAAAACGATACCACTATCACCTGAATCAAAAGTCCATCAAAACATTGCTTTAAAGGAACGTGATCTCGCTGATCATGAACAAAAGAATTTATTACACAAATTGTTGCAGTGAAGAAATGATTTTGTTCTGGGAATTGTTATCTTTACATGTTGCAGATTTAATCTTTATTCTGTTCTCTTAAAATATGGTATTTATCTTGATACGTGTAAGCAATCTAGAAGGTCTGCTTATACATTGTTATGTGACCTTCATCAGATGATGGGCTGTACATTGTTATGTGACCTTCATCAGATGATGGGCTGTACATTGTTATGTGACCTTCATCAGATGATGGGCTGTACATTGTTATGTGACCTTCATCAGATGATGGGCTGTACATTGTTAGGTGACCTTCATCAGATGACGAGCTGTACATTGTTAGGTGACCTTCATCAGATGACGAGCTGTACATTGTTATGTGACCTTCATCAGATGATGGGCTGTACATTGTTAGGTGACCTTCATCAGATGATGGGCTGTACATTGTTATGTGACCTTCATCAGATGATGGGCTGTACATTGTTAGGTGACCTTCATCAGATGACGAGCTGTACATTGTAAGGTGACCTTCATCAGATGATGGGCTGTACATTGTTAGGTGACCTTCATCAGATGATGGGCTGTACATTGTTATGTGACCTTCATCAGATGATGGGCTGTACATTGTTAGGTGACCTTCATCAGATGACGAGCTGTACATTGTTATGTGACCTTCATCAGATGATGGGCTGTACATTGTTAGGTGACCTTCATCAGATGACGAGCTGTACATTGTTATGTGACCTTCATCAGATGACGAGCTGTACATTGTTATGTGACCTTCATCAGATGATGAGCTGTACATTGTAAGGTGACCTTCATCAGATGATGGGCTGTACATTGTTAGGTGACCTTCATCAGATGATGAGCTGTACATTGTTATGTGACCTTCATCAGATGATGAGCTGTACATTGTTATGTGACCTTCATCAGATGATGGGCTGTACATTGTAAGGTGACCTTCATCAGATGATGAGCTGTACATTGTTAGGTGACCTTCATCAGATGACGAGCTGTACATTGTTATGTGACCTTCATCAGATGATGAGCTGTACATTGTAAGGTGACCTTCATCAGATGATGGGCTGTACATTGTTATGTGACCTTCATCAGATTATCCGCTGTAGTTGTTAGGTGACATAAAAAGCACAGAAAGGAAAAGGAGACAAAAAATCCAACTTACAGATCTTGTAATATTGCTCAACATGATCTCTATGTGATCTCTTTTAATGTATCATAATTATAGGCAAATATTCAGGTAGATTGAGGAGAAAAAGAGAGCTTATTGTAGGTACTCTTCTACCCTTAAGTATATAATTTGATTATAAAAACATTGCTGAATCCATGTTTCTGACCCATATTCTGTATCTGTGGTAGAATATATCCATATCTTACATATGTTTAAAAGTTATCATGTCTTCTTGATTGATGTGTAACCTGATAGTATAATAACATTATTCTTTGTTTTATCAGTGAAAGGGTTATATTCCAATTCATGGAACAAAGAAATAATGCAAACAAAAAGAAAATAAAGAAAGTCCGTAGAATTGGTAAGTAAGAATATCATATACCATGAAATCTGGTCATTCATTCTGTCTGTAAAACTTCGTTAAATTTCTCCTATCTTTGAACAATAGCCTGCATGAAAATGAAGTGCTGTCTCTACCAATATATATTAAACTTGATCAGAACCTAAGGTAGTTGTTGCTTATAAATGATTTTTCATTTGAATGATCTAATGACAGTTATGCAAAGTTATATGATATAATTTTTTAATCGTGTTTTATTCAAAGTAATTCTGCTACCATTAACTTGTAAGGCTTGTGAGAAATCTTAGTTCTGAACATTTAACATATAGGTCTTCGTTGTATAAATCTATACATTTTACACAGGTGTTAGTTGTATAATTCTATACATTTTACACAGGTGTTAGTTGTATAATTCTATACATTTTACACAGGTGTTAGTTGTATAATTCTATACATTTTACACAGGCGTTAGTTGTATAATTCTATACATTTTACACAGGCCTTAGTTGTATAAATCTATACATTTTACACAGGCCTTAGTTGTATAATTCTATACATTTTACACAGGCGTTAGTTGTATAATTCTATACATTTTACACAGGTGTTAGTTGTATAATTCTATACATTTTACACAGGCCTTAGTTGTATAATTCTATACATTTTACACAGGCCTTAGTTGTATAATTCTATACATTTTACACAGGCGTTAGTTGTATAATTCTATACATTTTACACAGGTGTTAGTTGTATAATTCTATACATTTTACACAGGCCTTAGTTGTATAATTCTGTACATTTTACACAGGTGTTAGTTGTATAATTCTATACATTTTACACAGGCCTTAGTTGTATAATTCTATACATTTTACACAGGCCTTAGTTGTATAATTCTATACATTTTACACAGGCGTTAGTTGTATAATTCTATACATTTTACACAGGCCTTAGTTGTATAATTCTATACATTTTACACAGGCCTTAGTTGTATAATTCTATACATTTTACACAGGCCTTAGTTGTATAATTCTATACATTTTACACAGGCCTTAGTTGTATAATTCTATACATTTTACACAGGTGTTAGTTGTATAATTCTGTACATTTTACACAGGTTTTAGTTGTATAATTCTATACATTTTACACAGGCCTTAGTTGTATAATTCTGTACATTTTACACAGGTGTTAGTTGTATAATTCTATACATTTTACACAGGCCTTAGTTGTATAATTCTATACATTTTACACAGGCCTTAGTTGTATAATTCTATACATTTTACACAGGCCTTAGTTGTATAATTCTGTACATTTTACACAGGTGTTAGTTGTATAATTCTATACATTTTACACAGGCCTTAGTTGTATAATTCTATACATTTTACACAGGCCTTAGTTGTATAATTCTATACATTTTACACAGGCCTTAGTTGTATAATTCTATACATTTTACACAGGTGTTAGTTGTATAATTCTATACATTTTACACAGGTGCTAGTTGTATAATTCTATACATTTTACACAGGCCTTAGTTGTATAATTCTATACATTTTACACATGCGTTAGTTGTATAATTCTATACATTTTACACAGGTGTTAGTTGTATAATTCTATACATTTTACACAGGTGCTAGTTGTATAATTCTATACATTTTACACAGGTGTTAGTTGTAAAATTCTATACATTTTACACAGGTGTTAGTTGTATAATTCTATACATTTTACACAGGTGTTAGTTGTATAATTCTATACATTTTACACAGGAGTTAGTTGTATAATTCTATACATTTTACACAGGTGCTAGTTGTATAATTCTATACATTTTACACAGGTGTTAGTTGTATAATTCTATACATTTTACACAGGTGTTAGTTGTATAATTCTATACATTTTACACAGGTGTTAGTTGTATAATTCTATACATTTTACACAGGTGTTAGTTGTATAATTCTATACATTTTACACAGGTGCTAGTTGTATAATTCTATACATTTTACACAGGTGTTAGTTGTATAATTCTATACATTTTACACAGGCCTTAGTTGTATAATTCTATACATTTTACACAGGCGTTAGTTGTATAATTCTATACATTTTACACAGGCGTTAGTTGTATAATTCTATACATTTTACACAAGCCTTAGTTGTATAATTCTATACATTTTACACAGGCCTTAGTTGTATAATTCTATACATTTTACACAGGTGCTAGTTGTATAATTCTATACATTTTACACAGGCCTTAGTTGTATAATTCTATACATTTTACACAGGCCTTAGTTGTATAATTCTATACATTTTACACAGGTGTTAGTTGTATAATTCTATACATTTTACACAGGTGTTAGTTGTATAATTCTATACATTTTACACAGGCGTTAGTTGTATAATTCTATACATTTTACACAGGTGTTAGTTGTATAATTCTATACATTTTACACAGGTGTTAGTTGTATAATTCTATACATTTTACACAGGCGTTAGTTGTATAATTCTATACATTTTACACAGGTGTTAGTTGCATAATTCTATACATTTTACACAGGCCTTAGTTGTATAATTCTATACATTTTACACAGGTGCTAGTTGTATAATTCTATACATTTTACACAGGTGTTAGTTGTATAATTCTATACATTTTACACAGGCCTTAGTTGTATAATTCTATACATTTTACACAGGCGTTAGTTGTATAATTCTATACATTTTACACAGGCGTTAGTTGTATAATTCTATACATTTTACACAAGCCTTAGTTGTATAATTCTATACATTTTACACAGGTGTTAGTTGTATAATTCTATACATTTTACACAGGTGCTAGTTGTATAATTCTATACATTTTACACAGGCCTTAGTTGTATAATTCTATACATTTTACACAGGCCTTAGTTGTATAATTCTATACATTTTACACAGGTGTTAGTTGTATAATTCTATACATTTTACACAGGTGTTAGTTGTATAATTCTATACATTTTACACAGGTGTTAGTTGTATAATTCTATACATTTTACACAGGTGCTAGTTGTATAATTCTATACATTTTACACAGGTGTTAGTTGTATAATTCTATACATTTTACACAGGCCTTAGTTGTATAATTCTATACATTTTACACAGGCCTTAGTTGTATAATTCTATACATTTTACACAGGTGTTAGTTGTATAATTCTATACATTTTACACAGGTGTTAGTTGTATAATTCTATACATTTTACACAGGTGTTAGTTGTATAATTCTATACATTTTACACAGGCCTTAGTTGTATAATTCTATACATTTTACACAGGCGTTAGTTGTATAATTCTATACATTTTACACAGGTGTTAGTTGTATAATTCTATACATTTTACACAGGCCTTAGTTGTATAATTCTATACATTTTACACAGGCCTTAGTTGTATAATTCTATACATTTTACACAGGCGTTAGTTGTATAATTCTATACATTTTACACAGGTCTTAGTTGTATAATTCTATACATTTTACACAGAGTTGTATAATTCTATACATTTTACACAGAGTTGTATAATTCTATACATTTTACACAGAGTTGTATAAAACCTAAACAACAATTATCAAATATGCTCCTCCAGATTGCAGATGTTCCTCGGACCTCGTTAAAAATCTGAATAGATTTTAAACGTCATGGTTCCAGAAACATTGAGCTTTACAAATACTGAAGCTTTATGTAGAGTTTATATTTCGGAAACATTGTATTGCTTTACGAAACAAATGTTTTAATTACAGAGGCTGATGCGGAGAGTCTTCGGGAGCTCCAGGAATCGTGGACCAAGTAACCCCTATGTGCTAATCCATACTCATGAATGACCAGACAGACAAGCAAATTGTGAAATTTTTGAGGCAACCTGCCTCTTTATCAGGACACAAACATCACATTAATTATATTACATACATAGAACATAAAACAAATACAAAGTTATAAAGTTAAATCGAGAGCGGTGGTGTAAATTTAGGTTACTTGAGAATCCTTTTGGGCGATGGATGCCGAAGGCCGTTTATAACGGACAAAAACCATCGTAAATTGTTGGTATGGTTTGCACTGTAGACATTTAGCGTATATATGACAATAACTTATATAGATATATATACATGCATACAAATTGTACATGGGATATATATTAAACAAGGGTGCAATTTCGACAAGGAATTCAAATCTGAAACCTTGAAGTCATATTACTGTATATGATGCATAATAATGATAATGATTTCACTGTCTGAACGAGACAACTTCTCAGGATCATCAACAGATGAATGATTACTAAAATCTTGCGTTCACATCTACATCCCAGCTGTAAGATGTTGTGGACCAGTCAGTTTTAAATCATTGTATAAAGGTATAGTTATTGACCTTGTATTGACCTTGTATTGACCTTGGAAGGAAAATGGCGTGAAATCATTTGGATGACTTTACATCAAATTTTAATTACTAGATTTGTGATTCTGACAGAAATAACCAAACTGTTGGTTTGTGTTTTATTGCAAAATGAGACAGAATAATTGTTAAAGATATACTTACTTGCAATTAATTATACAATGAAACATCATTTCAACTCATATGGAATTTCATTCTTTGAAACAATTACTGAATGTCATCAATATCATCATTGATTGCAGTCATAAGGAAAGTTTTCTGTCTTATTTTGATGCAGGGAAAGAGCATGCATGCATAACAGGCAGTGTTCAATAAGATTCTTTATTTTGGTACAGTAATTAACCTGGAACACAACCCTGGAAATGAGATGTTTTGTAAACCTTGCTTACAAGGAGTTGTCAATATAATGATCAACCTTATAGGAACAAGCAGTCAGTATAAAACCCTCCTTTAACAGACATTCTATATCGGGAACATCATGTACAGTTTCTGTATCACTTCATGATTATACATTTGCAGTTGACCATTATCTTATTGTAATATATAAATTACAGCCTTCAATATATTTCTCAACTGATTTTGGCTGTAGAAATTGTGATCGCTTGAATTCATAAGTTTTATTGTTTTTTTTTTATTTTTCTCGGTGAATGATAAGTCATAACTGACAGTAAATATTGATTTAACAATACAAAAAGAAAGCAATCATTCAATATATGGACCTTTATGTTCAGAACCAGTGTATTGACCTCTGCTTGAGTAAAGTTGTCCAGTACCTCTCCCTCGGGAACTGCTGTTGGGTACCTTCCCCTTGTAACCAGTTGTCTGTATGTCCTCTCCCTCGGGAACTGCTGTTGGGTACCTTCCCCTTGTAAACGGTTGTCTGTATGTCCTCTCCCTTGGATTGTGTACCATTCCCTTGGGAACAGTTGTCAGTATGTCCCCTCCCTTGGATTGTGTACCATTCCCTTGGGAACAGTTGTCAGTATGTCCCCTCCCTTGGATTGTGTACCATTCCCTTGGGAACAGTTGTCAGTATGGCCCCTCCCTTGGATTGTGTACCATTCCCTTGGGAACAGTTGTCAGTATGTCCTCTCCCTTGGATTGTGTACCATTCCCTTGGGAACAGTTGTCAGTATGTTCCCTCCCTTGGATTGTGTACAATTACTATGGGAATAGTTGTTAGTATGTCCCCTCCCTTGGATTGTGTACCATTCCCTTGGGAACAGTTGTCAGTATGTTCCCTCCCTTGGATTGTGTACAATTACGGTGGGAATAGTTGTCAATATATACCTCTCCCTTTCAAGTTCACATCTACGTACCTTTCCTATGGAAACAGTTGTCAATATATACCTCTCCCTTCCAAGTTCACATCTACGTACCTTTCCTATGGAAGCAGTTGTCAATACATACCTTCCCCTAGGATCTATTGATTTATGTGATGAAAGTGAGAGATGGATTTGTCACCAAAATGTTGAGGGTAACATAACAACATATGTACTGTTAATATTTTTTATATGATTCTATATATTTACTATCGTGAAGGAAATTTTCATTGTCTTATGTTTGCTTTCATCGAGGGCATGTAGAAAGAGAATGTAAATACAATGATCCTCACTATAGTGGCCTTACTTACTACTCACTCTATCTCACGGAGATCACATGTACAAACTGTGATATTTTAAGTCCACCATCTTCTGATAGTGGGGTATTCCCCCTGCGTCTGTGGTCTATCATCCCCCTGCGTCTGTGGTCTATCATCCCCCTGCGTCTATGGTCTATCATCCCCCTGCGTCTGTGGACTATCATCCCCTTGCGTCTGTGGTCTGTCATCCCCTGTGTCTGTGGTCTATCATTCCCCTGCGTCTATGGTCTATCATCCCCCTGCGTCTGTGGACTATCATCCCCTTGCGTCTGTGGTCTATCATCCCCCTGCGTCTATGGTCTATCATCCCCCTGCCTCTGTGGTCTATCACCCCGCTGCGTCTGTGGTCTATCATCCCCCTGCGTCTGTGGTCTATCATCCCCCTGCGTCTGTGGTCTATCATCCCCCTGCGTCTGTGGTCTATCATCCCACGTGTCTGTGGTCTGTCATCCCCCTGCATCTATGGTCTATCATCCCCTTGCATCTGTGGACTATCATCCCCTTGCGTCTGTGGTCTATCATCCCCCTGCGTCTATGGTCTATCATCCCCCTGCGTCTGTGGTCTATCATCCCCCTGCATCTGTGGACTATCATCCCCTTCCGTCTGTGGTCTATCATCCCCCTGCGTCTGTGGTCTATCATCCCCCTGCGTCTGTGGTCTATCATCCCCCTGTGTCTGTGGTCTATCATCCCCCTGTGTCTGTGGTCTATCATCCCCCTGCGTCTTTGGACTATCATCCCCTTGCGTCTGTGGTCTATCACCCCGCTGCGTCTGTGATCTATCATCCCCCTGCATCGGTGGTCTATCATCCCTCCAAAAGTTTGTTTTAACTTATTTCTTGAGAAGTATTCGGTAGATACTTCCGAAACATCACATATAGGTTTCCCTTGGTCCCTAGTTTTGCCCTTTTGATTACTTACAGTATTAGGATAACTAAATGGCAAAGAAACAGCCATCTTGAATCTCGACAATGGAAGTTTATCATTATTTCTTGAGAAGGACTTGGGATGGATATTTCTTCAGTTTCATGAAAACATTTCCGTTGTTCCCTAGTCGTGCCCTTTTGATTTCAGACTGATCAGAATAAACATATTTGACAGCTAAAGATTATTTTTGCTATTTATTACAAGAAATCCTCAAATTTAATATAATTAATTAGAGCAAATAAGAGGAAAACAGACAAAATGAGAAAAAATCTCTAACTTATCCAGAACAAGCAAAAATCAAACATTGGTGGGTGCCAAGATCCCCCTGGAATCTCTTGTTTAACATTTAGTTAGTTTATGTATACTTTCCTGTAGGTTAGTGGGGTTGAGACCTATACACACCCTGTTATTTAGACATGTACTTCAAATGAACATTTACAATGATCAGCAGAAAAATATAATTTTGCACTATTTTGTATGTCTTTATACAACATATTCACATGTACCAATGGATATTCTGCTCACTTTTGTTTTATTTCTAATGATGTCATCATCATAAATGCTAAATATTGGTCAATGTGTAACTGTACACTAGACCAAACTGTTTTGTCTGTCATTGTATGACATAGATCACAGTGTTTTGTCTGTCATTGTATGACCGTTATGTACACAAAATGTGCTGAGGAATCACATCATGTACGATATTAAAAGAGGTATTTTTTGTGCTGTTAAATTTTTTTCATCTAATATGTACACATTTTTAAAAATTATTGGCTTTTTAAACTATGGACATGTACAACTACCACTACAAAATATGCAATAAATATGTATTTATTATTTGTCAATTTTTTGTTTTTTGTTTTGCGAGGATGAGGTGAGCTCAATGCTCAATACTTGTCTCCATTTCCACTTTGTAGTTATCTATGTACACATCAATAGTGAATTGCCCCTCTTTCAGTAGTGCTCAACACAATGCAATTCATGATCATTTTGTCAATCACATCTATCATGGATTTTACATATGAAATCTTCACAATCACTACAGCCTTTACTCATATCAAATGTACAGGGAAAATGTTTATACATACTTAACAAAGATTCATTATCTTTTCAGGTACCCTAATAATATATTGGAATTTTTTTTTTAATGTCAAACATTGACATATAGGCCACAGTAATCTACTTGTACCTTCCAAAGATCTAGCCATGTACCGACAACCAATCAAAAACAGATGTTGCCTCATGAAGACCAAAGCCAAAAAATAGTCAGTGATGTATCACAGAATGTACATGTCGTCTTCCTAGAAAAATAGTCAGTGATGTATCACAGATTGTACAAGTCGTCTTCCTAGAAAAATAGTCAGTGATGTATCACAGATTGTACATGTGGTCTTCCTAGAAAAATAGTCAGTGATGTATCACAGATTGTACATGTCGTCTTCCTAGAAAAATAGTCAGTGATGTATCACAGATTGTACATGTCGTCTTCCTAGAACAAGAGGCCCATGGGCCTTAACGGTCATCTGACAAAAAGCAAGCCAAACCTAGAAAGTGGGTTGAGGTCATTCATTTGAACAAACTTGGTAGCCTCTCCTCCAAGCATCTTACAGGCCCAATATCAGCACTCATGGACTTTTGCTTGTTGAGAAGAAGTCGTTTGTATATTTTAACATATTTGACCCCTGTGACCTTGAAAGTGGGTTGAGGTCATTCATTTGAATAAACTTGGTAGCCTTTCCTCCCAGCATGCTACAGACCCAATATCGGCACTCATAGACTTTTGCTTATTGAGATGAAGTCCTTTGTATATTTTAACATATTTGACCCCTGTGACCTTGAAAGTGGGCCAAGGTCATTCATTTGAACAAACTTTGTAGGGCTCCATGCCAGCATGCTATGGGCCAAGTATTAGCCCCCTAGGCCTTCTAGTATTTGAGAAGAAGTTATTTAAAGATTTTGACATATTTGACCCCTGTGACCTTGAAAGTTGTTCAAGGTCATTCATTTAAACAAACTTGATAGCCCTTCATCCCAGCATGCCACAGGCACAATATCAGCAATCTGAGCCTTTTGGTTATTGAGAAGAAGTTGTTTAAAGATTTTAACATATTTGACCCCTGTGACCTTTAAAGTGGGTCAAGGTCATTCATTTGAACAAACTTGGTAGTCCTTCATCCCAGCATGCTACAGGCCTTATTTTAGTTGCCTGGGCCTTTTGATTACTGAGAAGAAGTCCTTTGAAGATTTAAAGACATTTGACCCCTGTGACCTTGAATGAAGGTCAAGGTCATTCATTTGAACAAACTTGGTAGGGTTTCATCAAAGCAAGCTACAGGCTAAATATTAGTTGCCTGGGCCCTCCAGTTATTGAGAAGAAGTCGTTTGAAGATTTTAAGACATTTGACCCCTGTGACCTTGAATGAAGGTCAAGGTCATTCTTTTTAACAAACTTGGTAGGGCTTCATCAAAGCAAGCTACAGGCCAAATATTAGTTGCCTGGGCCTTCCAATTATTGAGAAGAAGTCGTTTGAATGAAAAGTTTACGCACGGCGGACGACGACGGACGAAGCATGATGACTATAGGTCATCGGACCCTTCGGGTCAGATGACCTAAAAATAGTCAGTGATGTATCACAGATTGTACATGTCATCTTCCTAGAAAAATAGTCAGTGATGTATCACAGATTGTACATGTCGTCTTCCTAGAAAAATAGTCAATGATGTATCACAGAATGTACATGTCGTCTTCCTAGAAAAGTAGTCAGTGATGTATCACAGATTGTACATGTCATCTTTCTAGAAAAATAGTCAGTGATGCATCACAGATTGTACAAGTCGTCTTCCTAGAAAAATAGTCAGTGATGCATCACAGATTGTACAAGTCGTCTTCCTGGAAAAATAGTCAGTGATGTATCACAGATTGTACAAGTCGTCTTCCTGGAAAAATAGTCAGTGATTTATCACAGATTGTACAAGTCGTCTTCCTAGAAAAATAATCAGTGATTTATCACAGATTGTACAAGTCGTCTTCCTAGAAAAACAATCAACCAACAAATCTAGATCATAATACCAACCTCCAGGGTGAAACCTCAGCAAATCCAAGGGATGGGCTTATTACTGGACCATGATAGTAACATTGTGTAATTAGTGATGAAGTTCAAAGACTGGAAATCACAACAATTTGTAAAGTATAAGTGGTTTCATTTCTTCTTCAGATGTTTTACATTGATACATCGTGAATAACAGTTCAATAGTGATGTCATATTGACAAGGGAGATAATGTTACGTCACTATTGAAATGTTATTTATGATGTCACAATTCATATCTATGTAAAACATCTGAAGAAGAAATAAAAGTATTAATGTTTTACAATTTGTTATTTTCCAGTGTTAACTTTTTTCTATATTTGCTGGTCAAGGAGAATTCACCACCACTATTCTATGTATATATGCAGTTTATGTACTTAAATGACCTTGGCAGTGATGTTCTGTGTTATGTAACATGTTGACATTGACCTGTATTTGGGACATCTGCATTGTGTTTCATTGACCAGAACTCACACTGCATGCTTCAATTTCCCACCTTACTAACAGGCATGTCTGGTCTGCTGAACATATTACAATTCAGTTTCCCTCTCACAAGAGCTACACACGCATATCGCTCTTATCCATAGTACATCTGTAGTACTGCTGTAAAGCGAGGATCTATAGAGTCGCTGGATAGTCTTATAAGTAAAGCCTGTGTGTGTGTGTGTGTAACTGAGAGTGTGTGTAACTGTGTAATACTTCTTCTTTCGTTTTACCTATAGTTAACATTATTCTTCCGACCAGCAATATTTGAAAAATATCACAAATGACAGTCCAAGTTGAAAAGTGAGTATTTTCATAACTCAAAATGACAGGCTTTAAAACTGACTGAAATCTGTCAAGATTAATGTACACACATTCTTGTTTTTCTAATCTCTATCTGACTCTTATAAAACAAAGCATTGAAAAGAAAATGTGGAAGTCTTACTGACTGATAGAGACATGCCAGGTAAATAAATATACACAAATTTATGTTAAACAAGATTTTTCAAATATTTATTTATATTGTTTTCACATTTACATATCATAGCATATAGGTCATGTAATTTAGTAAAGATAGAATGACAAAAACCTTGAATGGGAACCATGAACAAGGATTACAATATACTGCTTAGAAACCTGGTTTCAGGAGTTGCTTATATTCTTTTTATCTTAATTTTAAGTGCACTGTAATACTGCTGTCACATAAATTTGGTATGGTAGAAATTTTCATATTTTGAACAAACCTACATGTGATATAGCCCTGCAGCATAAAGCCCCAATATATGCAACTTTCACAAAAACGTGAGGAGAAAAACGGATCTCTCTATATAGATCGTAAAAATTAACTTATCTGATAAATACTCCAAAGGATATCATGTATGGGCATTAATACAAAAGACAGTTACATTTCGTGTAAAACATGTCTCCATTTACTAGCTTTGTTGGAAAATCCTTTCAGATGTTTCCTTGAGAGGTCTACTATTAAAATGTTAGCATATGAATGACTATACACCTGCATTCTACCTGTCATATGACAACATGAAAAGCTGGCAGCACATGTGACATCACACTCCACCTGTACACATGCCACTACACCTGTACATTTTCTGTTTATGCTGAGTATGCAGACTGGTCATGTGGGGCAGCCTTCAGAACTTTGTATAACATTGGTTTGTATTTTTAGTGTGACCCACTTTTATTAATTTGTGTTTGTTTCACAATCCCCATTGAGCACTTCTCTATAGACACCACTGAGCTGAAGCATGTTTCCATGTTACCTTTGCATAATATCAAGTGGAGATCTTCTCAAAACTCTCTGAATCACGTAAATTTGCAAAACAATGCCTTTATTAGGGCTTTAAAACTTTGGTTGATGTACCTGCGTTTTGGCTATATAATCCAGGAAATTAATACTGAGCTAGTACTGGCATAAAATACAATCAAATGTACTGATTCACTAAATGAAGAAATAATGTTTTTATAAACCATTCACACAGCAATAGTACTTCTTTGGACCAACCCATAATCCTGGTTCTAAACTGGACCTTCCCATAATCCTGGTTCTAAACTGGACCTTCCTGTTCCTGGATCTAAACTGGACCTTCCCTCTCCCTGTACTGGACTAGACCTTCCCATATTCCTGCTACTAATCTGGACCTTTCCATCCCCGGTACTAATCTGGACCTTCCCATATTACTGGAACTAATCTGGACATTCCCATATTGCTGCTACTAATCTGGACATTCCCATATTCCTGGTACTAATCTGGACCTTCCCATATTCCTGGAACATATCTAGACCTTTCCATCCCTGGTACTAATCTGGTCCTTCCCTTATTCCTGGTACTAATCTGGACCTTGCCATCGCTGGTACTAATCTGGTCCTTCCCATATTCCTGGTTCTAATCTGGACCTTCCCATCCCTGGTTCTAATCTAGACCTTCCCATATTCCTGGTACTAATCTGGACCTTCCCATATTCCTGGTACTAATCTGGACCTTCCCATATTCCTGGTACTAATCTGGACCTTCCCATATTCCTGGTACTAACCTGAACCTTTCCATCCCTGGTACTAATCTGGACCTTCCCATATTCCTGGTGCTAACCTGAACCTTTCCATCCCTGGTACTAATCTGGACCTTCCCATATTCCTGGTGCTAACCTGAACCTTTCCATCCCTGGTACTTAAGACAATGATTATATTATGATGTTGAATGACCTACAATACAAACTAGACTAGGTGTTGAAACAGAATTGATATGAAATGAAGCTTGTCATATCATGATCAGTATGGTATATAATATATGGAAAAATGTAAAATATTGCAATGATTTTAAATAAACATTATCTAAAAATGTAAATAATCAGTTTTGAAAACTAAAATAAAAGCACAATGTAATATGTACTCAAATATTCACAATCTTAAAAGTACATCAATATATATATTATATACATACACATTACATGCACACACTATGTAATTGATTTAAACAATTCTTAACTTTTGTATATTACACTTATGTACCTGCACATATATCGTGATGGTTTTTAAAATGAGGAAAAACAATAACTGACATCTGTGGTTTAGATTAAGTACATGGCAAATTGAATAACACTTACATATTACTGTAGGTTAAATCAATGTTTTTATCACAAAAACTGGCAATTATGAATTCAAAAATTAAAACATGATGTCAAAACTTCACTCCAGGACCTATACATTTATTCTGAAAAAATAATTTAGTGACAAGCAAACTTCAAGTAGTCTAAAATTACTGCACAAATACACTACATGTCCTGAGCATTATGAACATGTCTAATTTCTTTTACAATATATCATTAATCATTTACTAAAATGTTGAATTCAGTAGGTCTATGGGTGGAAGCTGAAATTGATTTTAATATAATATATATATCATTATATCACTATATGATACACTGTATAATGTAATGTTAACCTATATGCTATCTGGCTTAAATATTTCAATATTTTTTTTTCATACTGGAAATTGTACCAAAGAAAATTTGTGTTTCCATCTCTGACTGGAAGGTGTTTACATGCCATTTTCCAATGGACCCTAAACGAATATACACATACTTATTCAGTGTTGACAATACAGTGAGTATTATTATATTGCATTGGCAGAAGTTATACTGAATACATTTAGAAACTAAATTTGATTTTATAATATTTTTCCTTATCTAATTGATATGACAACATGTCCCATGTATCTGGCTTAAAAATATTTGCTAAACTGTATATTTGCAACTGTTGTAAAATAAAAAAATTCTTGCCATCTGGCATGTACTTCATGATCATCATCATCACAGCATACATGTAGAAATACAACAAATACTATGAATAATTATAAGCTTTTCACATACAATTCAATATAACTGTATGAAATGATCCCAATTTCAACCTAGTAATTCATCATTTACTGTGCAAACAGGCCACACATTACTTACGAGAAGGCAATAAATTTCTTGTCTGCTGATTAACGCACCCAAAAGACTATAAAACATCTCTCTGAAGAGCTAAACCTTGAGAGGATATTGCCATAGAAACAGCCTGATCGAGAAGGTCAGAACTGGACATTGATCCAGATGTTGTATCAGAGGTGGTGGCAAAAGTCGAGTTCTCATCAAGAATGATGCTCTGAGTATCTGCCAAACAACTGGGCTGCAAGTGACCTTGAGAGAAAACCATGTCAGATAAGTGAGTGACATGGGAAAGAATGGGTGCTAGTCTAGCATTACACACTGCCTGATGCTGGGAAACAAGGCCCTGACTGTGTATAGCCTGGTGTTGTGGGATAAGGCCCTGACTCTGTATAGCCTGTGATATTCCAGCATCTTCTACATGGCACTTTCCAGTTACAAAGTTATCACTATTGGTGTCTGGAGAAACACCCATATCTTCCAGTGTCTTATTAATAGCATTGTCTACCACTGCTTTAGCTATATGACTGTTTTGGCGCTTGGCTAGAAAACTATTGAACTCATTTGAAATTGTCGAACTTCTTGTTGAAGAATGAGGATTGTATTCTCTCCTGCTATTATTTGAAGATGAATTTTGATCTTGTAAATGAAACTTGGGTACAGGTGGATCACTCCCTTTGGCTTGTGTGATATCACAATTATGAATGGAATTATTGGATGTTATCCTGTCACTAGCTACAGGATCAGAACCATTTGAAGTTTGTCTTGGATTCTGAGATTCAATACTTTCTGCAGGATGTCCATTAAACCTTCTCCGCCTTGTCTCATTTGATGTCTGGTCAAGTGTTGGAAATTCTGGGTTACTAACAAGCTCGATTTCACTCTGACATGATATCCTGTTACAATCTGGTGAGTCAATAATTGTGGGAGATGCATACTCTGGATGCTTTCTGTGCACTGTCACAATGTTTTGGTTGGCCCTTCCATGATTTAGGTGTAGCTCAGTTGCCAGTCTACTCTCATGTACTTTAATGCCTTTGGTTGACTCGCCTTTTATCTGCCACTCATGTCGTGCCTTTTTAAACACAGTATTAGATTCATTTGATTCTTCTTTCTGAGCTTTCCGCTTTGATTCATAAGAAGAAGAATGTTTCATTTCCATCTCTAATTTAAAATAGCAATGTAAGATGGCTTTTCTGTCTGCAGTCCATTCTTTTCTTGGTTTATCTACAAAAACAAAAATATACCATAAGACAGAATCAAACCAAATTTATAACTAAAGAAGCAATAACAAGTCTCCAGGAACATAATGCTTCCCATCCTGTGCAAGGGCACCTTACAGGATATTTAGGTATAGGAGACCCTAGTGGGATCTTGATGTTTGTTGCTGTATGGACTTTATGTGAAAGTTCAATCTTTTCTGAATTACAATTAAGTTTGTCGATTCACACTAATTGCATTCATGGATTACATATAGTTGAAGTTTATGTCAGAATTCGGTAAAGGATCAGAGCAGGGTGGGTGGTGGTGAAGAAATATATTGTGTAATTGCACTTTTGAAGGTTAAGAAGAAGTAGAAGAAGCAAAAGGTACATGCAGAGTAAACTCCCCATAACCATGACAAGGGACTTAAACAATTCTATGATGAGGGCATTGGCATAAAAACAAGATATCTCCAAGGGACCTTAGCACCCTCCATGTTTGATCTTTATTTGTTCTTTCTTTAAATGTTTGGACCTTTTCCCTTCTTTTCTGTTTTTTCCATTTCTTTTCTCTTGGCTATATATGAAATCCGAAAGTTATCCTGAAGAAATAGTGAATATTTTTTGACAGTCAAATCTTATATAGTCATCTGTGACAGCCAGTCAGTCATTTTATTTTTGCGATCATGTCCAAACATCAAAAGAGCACAATTAGAGACATATAAAAACCTTTATATGAAAGTTTAAAAAGATCTGTTTTGTTCTTCTCAAAAAAAAAAACATACTTAACTTTCATCATCATAATCCAAGATTGACACTTATCTGCCTTTTTTTTTAAAACAGTCTAATTAATACCTGATGACGGTAATTTACCGTAAACTAAAATTATTTGGACATATTTAACCCAAGTTCCCCCCACAGGTTACTCTTCAATGTGCATGTTGGAGGTTGGTTATTTGGTAGGAATCTTATGTGCTAAAACAATTACGTCTGATCAGGGACATATAATACAGTATTATACGTCCCTGGTCTGATTTAGTAAATCAGTCAATAAAAATACAAATAGATATAGGGCATAATGCAGTTCGCTTTGTAATATCAAAAGTTCACTGAAATCATTTCTCACAAAAAATAGTATAATCAATTTGAAAATTATCAAAATTTCTACTAACTTTTATTTTAGAAAGATTAGTAATTATATAGTTTTGCATTGAAAATGCTTATAAATACAGTGAACTGAAATGTTCTCCAATCCAGGGAGGTTACAACTTACACAGCGATCATCCGATAATGTTTGCAGAGGGGATTAAACGTAGATTGCCTCACAACATCAGCTTTGTTCATTATCTTTTACGTAATACCATTACCAAAACCAAATGCAGTATTCAATAGTTCGGAAAAGCAAATGAAACGGGTAAGGATTATTTGTAGCGAATAGCCAAACAAGCAATCGAGGAAATGTCGTCTGGAATCACTAATCGACTGCAATTGTACCAGTCAGATACGGGCACTCCCTGTAACTCACCGCAGATAAAATGAGTTCACTTGTAACAAATATTCTGAACACACTGAATAGCAGCTCAATCCAATATGGAATATTTCATCGCTTTGTCTGTTATTTGTAACCGAATTTATATTTCCATTCCTGTCATCTACAAGGTGCAGACCATTTTTATGTTAATCGACGTCACCAAGAAGCTTGCCTAATTCCTTATTAGACCTGATGCAAAATAAACGTTTTGCAGCCATCAACAAAAGTAAATGTAAAATATTTATAGTCAATTCATTCTTGTTCATTTTGAATCTAAAATGAAGCGACGAATACAAAAATAAAAACAAATTCACAAATAGCACCCAGAACACAATTATTAATGGTAATTAGGCAACGTTATTGAGGCGAGATCTTACGAGACTTGTCAGCCATATTTGTTTTCTCTAGCGACTGAGCCAACATGTACGGCTAAAATGTTATGAATCCTCCGATGACGGAACTAAGTTATCAAGCTATCCGCACAGCCAACCAGGCTCGGGAGGCGGTATGTATTTCGCTTATGGATATGTGAAAAATATATTTATATTGTTCGTTAACATTGTAAGGACACCTGTTTAGCTGTTGATATTCATTGATTCAGCCCATCGGCATCGGCTAATAACATGTATTTCGGCTTCATCCACATGAATGTACAAACCAGGTCTATGTACATATATCATTATGTCTTTAAGAAGTTTTATTATGCAGAAGAAAAACCCCAATAATAGAGTATTATTTGAACGTTTTTCTCTAAATTTCACGCCAGGCACTTGTTGAAAAGCTAGGAAGGAGACAAATATAATAATAAGGGCTATCTACAAGAAAGGTTCAAAATCGGAATTTTGCAATTATAGACCAGTTAGTTTGACTAATGTTAATATAGAGTTGATAGGAAATGATGAGAAAATATTTAACGGCATTGTAAAAGATATGGACATAAATGATTTATTAAGTCACAGGCAGTTTGGATTTACATATGCAAGATGATCTTAGATAGCGACAGCTACATTTACTAACTGTATTTGGAGAGTGAACCAAGGTTATTGATAATCTAGGAAAACAAGATATACTTTATATGGATATCATGAAGGAAGACATTTGATGAAGTCCCTCACTGACATCTCCTTACAAAACTTACAGCTTACAGAATCAGTAACATGCCACAGAGTATTAGCCAATGGCCAAAACATCAATGTACAAAAGTGACAAAGAATTGTTGTTGGTCCAATTCATATTTGTCATGTATATCAAAGATTTTTTTCTTTTGAAGAACCAGCATCCCCATATGCTATATTTGTGGATGACACAAAGTTATTTAGACAAATAAAAAATGAAGAAGATGTTTAGAATGGTCTGGATAAATTAAAAAAAAATTATTGAAGTGGCTATTTAGTTCCATCATAATATCTTATTTGGCATTCTGCTGGTACATGTACTTGTTTAAGAGGAGAAGGAAGTCTGTGTGAATTGTATAAGGTATACATAAAACCTGTACATGTGTCACTCAGTTGTTTCTTTCTCTCATTGCTATTTATACCTGAAGACAGGTGTCATTTGGTCAATTATGTCGAAGAGGTAGCAACCTAAAGTAAACAAGGCTAGTGACTTTTGCAAAATGGACAAAAGTTGCTGAAAGAGCAGTGATTCAATATTCACATAAGAACGGTTTATCACGTAAGGATATCCACACTGATGTGGTAGCAACGCTAGGGAATGGTGCTCCTTCATTAAGCCACAGTGAAAATGTGGGTTACAGAATTTAAATTTGGCAGGCAGAGCCTTGGGGATGACACCCGTCCTGGTCTGTCATTTGCCATGGCTGCCATTAACGATTGTGGTTTTGAATTGACTGAGCATCTGCCATATTCGTCTGATCTTGTTCCATCAGACTTTCATCTATTTCCGAATTTGAAAAAGGCCATTTCTGGTACCCACTTTCAGCCAGATGATAATGTCATACATGCAGGACTTTCTGAATGGCCAAGAAAAGGACTTCTGTAAAAGTGGCATTGAGTTGCTTAAACATTGCTGGCAAAAGTTAATAGATACTGAAAAGGTTTATGTTGAAAACCAATGCAATATGTCTGCCAAAAGTCAATCCCTTAAATATGAAACTCACAACTTATCAATCAGCTGTCATAGATTTATCCCTCAGTGGAGGTAGCATGCTTTTTTGGGTAACTATTGCAAAAGTCTTGTCCTATAAACACAAAATCTTTCTCTGTGTATCTCAATTTGTTACATATATACAGAGAAAATGTGATTACAAGTAAACACAGTTATATAATTTCCCAGCTGTTAATTACTCTAAACTTGATAACTTTACATGAGATTCTGACTGCATGCCAATATATATGGCCGATGATAAAAACATTCAAATTTTATTTATTTATTTGTTGTTTTTATCCCCAAACTATCATATATGACTGACAACTTTTACATATAACTATGTGAAGGGAGGTAATTCAATATGGCGGACGCAGAACTCGGGAATGATAACCCAAAGAATGGCATGTACCTGCGTATAATGCACACACCCTTTTTGACACGATAGTTTTAGCTTAAAAAAGTGTGCACTATACGTGGAAATTTATGGTAATCATAAATACATAGAAAGTTCGAATTTCATTGCAGGATGAGCTTAGGACTGAAAGTAGAAAAAAGAACTTACTGATTTTAGTCCTGAATTACATGCATGAAGAAGGGTAAGTGTGTTTTTGGTAGCCCTAAATATTTGTGCGTCGCAATATCGTCATTTCCAAGTTCATTGTAATACATTGTTATATTCTCTATCCTGTTATTCATCTCATTGTGTTTTATCATTTTTACTTAGAGACCTTGTGCTATTATTTATTTACCAAATTTCTCTGCCTAGAAAGAAGTAAAGCAGTACATGAGTAATACCAGGGTATGCTTATGTAAGATATATGATATAATTGTTGATTAATTGAGAATATATTGTTGAGTTTGATATCACCTAAAACTGGGTAAGTATCAATAGATAAATCATGAAATGAAATAAATTTTGTTTATAACATGAAAAATCTTAATTCATCAAGGCCAAAAGAAAGATGATTCTAAAAGATGGACTTTGATGGGCCCCCAAATTCTCTTGTACATCCATGACTATAGTAATTTGTCTGCATCATATCCTGAAAACATGTTTTCAACTTCCACTGTTTTCTAGCTATCTAGACTCTGCACAAAGTTTAGCAAAGGAGACAAATATAGACCTAAGTAAATATGAGGTGTGTGATAACATTGACCTGGAGACAATTCTTATGGAGTATGAGTCCTACTACTATGTCAAATTTGCCAAGTATCCAAAGATCACCAAGAAACTCACACAGAGTGGTAAGTGAACAAGGATTTCTACTTAAGGCAGTTTTTATTTTACCAAACTTGGTATGATTAGGAAACAATTACTCTATAACATTAGTATAAGGTGGAATGGAAGAGCCTGTTTTTATGCATGCTTGTGTATTTAGTATAGATCTTACAGATTTGTTCTGTTTCACATGAGACGTTTTGTCTAAAAAGTTTACCATATAACAGTCATTTTGCATAACATGTTATCAATAAGTCTGATGTAACTATGACCTTCACACACACTCTGTAATAAAGTTATGATTAACTAACGTAATTAAATTATAATGATAATGTGATACTTATACAATATAATGTAATACTCATACACTATAATGTGATACTTATACAACATCTTGTAATATTTATACAACATCATGTAATATTTATACAATATAATGTAATACTTTTACACTATAATGTAACACTTTAACACTATAATGTAATACTTATACAACATAATGTGATACTTATACACTGTTATGTTATATTTATAAAATATAATGTGATACTTATATACTATAATGTAATACTTATACACTATAATATAATACTTATACACTATAATGTAAAACTTATACACTATAATGTAAAACTTATACACTGTAATGTAAAACTTATACACTGTAATGTAATATTTATACAATATAATGTGATACTTATACACTATAATGTAATACTTATACAACATAATGTAATACTTATACACTGTTATGTAATATTTATAAAATATAATGTGATACTTATATACTATAATGTAATACTTATACACTATAATATAATACTTATACACTATAATGTAAAACTTTAACACTATAATGTAAAACTTATACACTGTAATGTAAAACTTATACACTGTAATGTAATATTTATACAATATAATGTGATACTTATACACTATAATGTAATACTTATATACTACAATGTGTTACTTATACACTCATTGCAGCTAGAAATTTAAATGCATGATTCTGTAGAGCTTGCATGTACTGCCGTTATTTGAAGAGTATGTGAAATATATACAATAGTGTGTCCCTCAATATAAGATATTATCTGTACCATTCTCATGAGCCTGAAATATAATTATGACCTACATTCTTTCCACAGGACATCCAGGTAGATCGTCATGTGAAACTCTGTGTGCCCTGAGTTTTTTCTCTTTTATTAACCTGGAATAACATATCAGAAATAAGTTACAAATTATTGTTGATGTGTATCAATTTTTGCAAAATATCATATAATTATATGCTACATTTAAAACTGATAAAAAAGAAATTTATAGTAGAGAACATGTAGACTGAAACACCTGGTAATAACTATGTACCTGTGTATCGTTGTAAATCGAAAGAAAACTACTTAATCAATGACATGTAACACCTCATAGTCACATTATGCAGAAATCCATTATTTGTATTATTTTTAGAGATTTAATGCTTCTAAAGAAATTAACTACAAACAATTTAAATTATTCAGAGTTATTATTTCTGGTATGACATGATAATATCTGTGTGTGATATTTATTTTGTGATACTATCCATATTATTGATGCATTGCTATAATTAATTGACCTGAAGTTAACTACTAACTTATTTACTTTGATGTCATCACACCTACAAAATCTACCTTGGGGTATGTGATAAGAAGGTTCTTTAAATGAGACAAAGTTGTTTACATGTTTATCAACATTGTAAAACTTGAATGACTCCTATTTAACAAGACACTGATTTATAAATGTCAAATTCATGATTTTTAAGCTATTTCTTATAAAAGAAGTTTTGTGAAAATTCAGATTCACAAAATTCTACTAATTTCAGAAGAGGGAAAACAAACTTTCCCTCGGTTTATTTAAAAATTTTTCAGTAGTCATCAATCGAACGAAAAAGCTAAAAACAAGCCATGCGGCTTATACTCGGGTGTGGTTTATAGCCTTGGAAATATGGTTATGTGTATTATGACAAATGCTAACACTAAAATGTCAAACATGCTGGAGTTTGTACCAGTGTATATAAATATTCCTACCAATATGTGTGATTCCTTTGAAAATGTATATAACTTGTGTGACTTTTTCATATACCAATCTGCACTTAACACTGACCGTTCCCTTATTTTCATTATATTTTGTATTCCAAACTCTTTCTATATATCACCTGAATTAATATAAAAATAAATCCTGATACATCCCATTTTGTGTATGAAATAGAACACAACATACAATGTGTAAGTCTTACTGAGTAGGTCATAATGAGGGTATCACATGTGGGGCAATGTGTTCTTATTTTTCATAAACTTAAGTTGGTATATTGATTCACATAAAAGATTCTACATGCATTTGGAGGGTAAAACTGTTTGTATACTGATGTGTGTTAGAGAGGTTGAAGAAGACTGTTGACAAGAGACCTTTAATGAAGACAGTGTGTGAGGGAAGTGGAATAAGACTGTATTTTAGAGATGTTTGGTAAAGACTGTTTTGTGAGAGGGGTTGACTGTATAAGATTGTGTGAGAGGGGTTGACTGTATAAGATTGTGTGAGAGGGGTTGTGTGTATGAGATTGTGTGAGAGAAGTTGACTGTATAAGATTGTGTGAGAGGGGTTGACTGTATAAGATTTTGTGAGAGAAGTTGTGTGTATGAGATTGTGTGAGAGAAGTTGACTGTATAAGATTGTGTGAGAGAAGTTGTGTGTATAAGATTGTGTGAGAGAAGTTGTGTGTATAAGATTGTGTGAGAGAAGTTGTGTGTATAAGATTGTGTGAGAGAAGTTGTGTGTATTAAATTGTGTGAGAGAAGTTGTGTGTATAAGATTGTGTGAGAGTAGTTGTGTATATAAGATTGTGTGAGAGTAGTTGTGTGTATAAGATTGTGTGAGAGAAGTTGTGTGTATAAGATTGTGTGAGAGAAGTTGTGTGTTTAATATTGTGTGAGAGAAGTTGTGTGTATAAGATTGTTTGAGAGAAGTTGTGTGTATTAAATTGTGTGAGAGTCGTTGTGTGTATAAGATTGTGTGAGAGTAGTTGACTGTATAAGATTGTGTGAGAGTAGTTGTGTGTATAAGATTGTGTGAGAGTAGTTGTGTGTATAAGATTGTGTGAGAGAAGTTGTGTGTATAAGATTGTGTGAGAGAAGTTGTGTGTTTAATATTGTGTGAGAGAAGTTGTGTGTATAAGATTGTGTGAGAGAAGTTGTGTGTATTAAATTGTGTGAGAGTCGTTGTGTGTATAAGATTGTGTGAGAGTAGTTGACTGTATAAGATTGTGTGAGAGTAGTTGTGTGTATAAGATTGTGTGAGAGTAGTTGTGTGTATAAGATTGTGTGAGAGTAGTTGTGTGTATAAGATTGTGTGAGAGAAGTTGTGTGTATAAGATTGTGTGAGAGAAGTTGTGTGTATAAGATTGTGTGAGAGAAGTTGACTGTATAAGATTGTGTGAGAGAAGTTGACTGTATAAGATTGTGTGAGAGAAGTTGTCTGTATAAGTGTGATTGTGTGAGTGTGAGAAGTTGTGTGTTTAAGATTGTGTGAGAGAAGTTGTGTGTATAAGATTGTGTGAGAGAAGTTGTGTGTATAAGATTGTGTGAGAGAAGTTGTGTGTATAAGATTGTGTGAGAGAAGTTGTGTGTATAAGATTGTGTGAGAGAAGTTGTGTGTATAAGATTGTGTGAGAGTAGTTGTGTGTATAAGATTGTGTGAGAGTAGTTGTGTGTATAAGATTGTGTGAGAGTAGTTGTGTGTATAAGATTGTGTGAGAGAAGTTGTGTGTATAAGATTGTGTGAGAGAAGTTGTGTGTTTAAGATTGTGTGAGAGAAGTTGTGTGTATAAGATTGTGTGAGAGAAGTTGTGTGTATTAAGATTGTGTGAGAGTCGTTGTGTGTATAAGATTGTGTGAGAGTAGTTGACTGTATAAGATTGTGTGAGAGTAGTTGTGTGTATAAGATTGTGTGAGAGAAGTTGTGTGTATAAGATTGTGTGAGAGTAGTTGTGTATAAGATTGTGTGAGAGTAGTTGTGTGTATAAGATTGTGTGAGAGAAGTTGTGTGTATAAGATTGTGTGAGAGAAGTTGTGTGTATAAGATTGTGTGAGAGAAGTTGTGTGTATAAGATTGTGTGAGAGAAGTTGTGTGTATAAGATTGTGTGAGAGAAGTTGTGTGTATAAGATTGTGTGAGAGAAGTTGTGTGTATAAGATTGTGTGAGAGAAGTTGTGTGTATAAGATTGTGTGAGAGAAGTTGTGTGTATAAGATTGTGTGAGAGAAGTTGTGTGTATAAGATTGTGTGAGAGAAGTTGTGTGTTTAGGATTAAGTGTTTCAAACTTTATATACTTAAGATTTCATTACAATAAAAATGGATATATAAAATCTAATGCAGAAAGCTTGGTTAATTAAAGATATTTATAATTTAAACAACTTTTGAAGACCAGTCTAACCTGAGTTGCCTCTGGCCCCACACCAAATATTTTAAAGGATAAAAGCCTGATATTTGGGCCAGATGAAACTTGGTTAAAATTAAATATGTTGGATGTAAAATTTCACACTTTTCTTGTGTATTCTCTCTAGCAGGTGATGGGCGTGGTCGGGCTCCACACAAGATGACACGAACAAACAGGTTGGTAAATCATAAACTTAACCCTGTATTAACACACACTGTAGATTACTTTAAGTAAATGCTTAAATGTAGGTCTGATACATTCTTTCACGCTGTTTTTTGGTACAATGTACAAAGAAGAGCTGTAATACGTCTAAATCGTTAGCATGATAATTATGAGAAAAAGTTCTATCAGGTAGCTATATATATAACTGCACAGTATTAACCACTATAATGTAGAATATTCTTTATATGTTGAAATTGAAACATTTGAAGTCAGTGTGACCTTAATATGTTCAGTCAGGCTTTAGGTATATAGTAAGTCACCTCAACAAGCATAAGGCACTAGGTTATACACAATTTCCTTTAGGAGTTTATACAGAAAGACATGATTTAAGTGATAATCCTTGGTAGTTTCTTGGTTGTACAGTTTGTGTAATTTTTATGTTCTGGTACCTTTTTTAAGAAACAATAAAGAAAGGTAAAAGTGAATGTTTGATTGACTTTCAGTGTAAATAACCCTACTGTGTCTTGTGTCCTTTTGATCTGATAGATTGAGATATATAAGTATCTATGGCGGTGGTGAATATGCATTTCAGTCTTCTATGTACATATATAGATAGTTCACTACTCTCGTATATCTTCAAATAGATATTTATTGATTTTGGATAAACATCTTTTCCCTCACATTAACATATGTATGTACTTACAAGCTGAAATGCAGATTCATGTTAATTCTATTATCTAGTTCATTGTTTGTGTCACCTGTTGAAAGTAATGACTGTTTTTAACAGCTCTAGGACCAGTAAGTGGCCTCTATCACCTGTTTGCTATTTCAGTTTGTTTCTAATCCTAGTCATCAGGGTTCTCCCATTAAGTATACTCCTTTCTTGTTTTATTTATAATTTATAAAATTCTTTACAGAAGACCTTTAGAAACATTAGCTTCAGTAAAATAACAGTTTTCACAAACATAATCTCTGTCAGTGTTCTTGTTGTTTTGACAAGTAATGTGTGTCAGCACATTTATCAAACAAAATACTCAATACTTGTTACTAAGTTAAACAGCATTGTTATGGTACAAATATTATGTTAATCTCTTCTATAATGACAGTTAAAATCAGTTACAACATAAAACTCTCTCCTTCTCCACAGCTACAACATAAAACTCTCTCCTTCTCTACAGCTACAACATAAAACTCTCTCCTTCTCTACAGCTACAACATAAAACTCTCTCCTTCTCTACAGCTACAACATAAAACTCTCTCCTTCTCTACAGCTACAACATAATTTTCTATCCTTATACTTGGTGGTTAGAGGTAACCTTTTTTCCTCCTCTGTAATATCAGGAAACACAATTCAGATGTTGATTGATTTTTTTGTATTCTCAGACATTATTTCATTTACCTATATTTATTTATAAATATGTGTGAATGTTGTTCTGTTTTTGGAGTCAGTTTGAAATTCAAAATGGTCACTAACTCAGCTTTTGTGATTGATAGAGAAATTTTGGACCAGGTTTATCCATATATACAGTCACATTGTATTTGTTCTTATTATATCATAACATTTGAGTTGCTTGTATGTTAAAATCAAGTTGACCTCATAATTTCTATGTTTCATATGACAATTTTCATTTTTCCAATTTTATACAAGTGTTCAGTTAATCTTTTTACTGCCATCATCCTGTAATCTCTTTACAATCAAAATACAAGAAGAAAGTCAATGTACCTTGTAATGATCCTTAAACACTCTTCTATGTCTCTATAACTTTATCATTGATTTAAGTATCATATTGATGTTAAATATTTCAGGTACAATGGAATCCAACATTAACGTAATTAGCTAGTCTGTGTATAGTAGATTGAACTAAAACTCCACAGTAGTGCTGAACTAATAACCTACTAGAGTTAGACTTAGGAAGATCAAGTGTTTAGTGTCCTACCATGCTGTTTCTGGTATTAAACTGAAGAAGTAAATAGAAGTGTGATGATACATCACAAATCTTATGTGTAAAGCGTTTAATGATAAATGCTAGCAGGAAAAAGGAGATGGGTAATTTTACATTTACCTCCAGGGTAGGATTCACCTAGTTTGAATTAATTTTATTTGTCTTATGTTAGAATTTCTTGTCTATTAATTTATTGCAGAAATTACTTTCTGACTGGATTTTTTTCCCAGATTCAATGTTTATTGATAGAATGATTGATATTTCATCATGTTGTATCTTATTTTGGCACACTTGATGATGTGACAAATCACCTTAATATTATCAGCCTAACATAGCCAGCCACATAATCATAATCTGTAGCATATGTATTATAGTGTACATCATAGGGCCTAACGGTATACAGTGTTGTTTGTTATAATACTGGCTAATATATTGTAAGTAGAGGTTTAGACATCTCTTTATAAACTGTTACGTTTTGTAGCATTAGACGCAGAACCGAGTCTGGTCACTCTGGGTATGTATAGATAGAGCACTGACTTGTTTGCATTGTTTATCTGGCATTACCAATCTGTTTTTGATTGTTGTATTCCATTTCTTGTTTCCATATAGCATACAAAATTATAAAAATACCAATATTATGTCTTGCAGTACTATGTAAAAAATCACTTAAAAGTCCAACCAGCATTACTGTACAATTTTGTAAAATCTGACTGATTCATCCTCAGCTGAGATCTGGTACAGTCCCTATAAACAGAAGACTTGTACATATCCAATGTACACAGGGGAATGGTACACATCTTGTACACAGGGGAATGGTACACATCTTTTACACAAGGAAATGGTACACATCTTGTACACAGGGGAATGGTACACATTATTTACACGGGCAACTGGCTAGCGTTACACATTCTGTACACAGGGGATTGGTACACATGTACACAGGGGATTGGTACACATCCTGTACACAGGGGATTGGTACACATGTACACAGGGGAATGGTACACATACTGTACACAGGGGATTATTAAACATCATTTACACAGGGGATTGGTACACATTATGTACACAGGGGATTGGTACACATCCTGTACACAGGGGATTGGTACACATCCTGCACACAGGGGATTGGTACACATCCTGTACACAGGGGATTGGTACACATCCTGTACACAGGGGATTGGTACACATCCTGTACACAGGGGATTGGTACACATCCTGTACACAGGTGATAGGTACACATCCTGTACACGGGAATGGTACACATCCTGTACACAGGGGAATGGTACACATCCTGTACACAGGGGATTGGTACACATCCTGTACACAGGGGATTAGTACACATTATGTACACAGGGGATTGGTACACATACTGTACACAGGCAACTTGTTGAACGTACATATTCTTTACACACAGGACTGGTACACAAACTATACCAAAAGACCTGGTTCAAATTCTGTTTACTTGAGGAATTCACAACCTAGGAATTATACATCAACATCAGTGACCAAAAGAATATATATATACACACCTAGGCATATACAATTAATATATATACACTTTTTTATGTTGCAACATGTTGATGTGGTTGTCTATTATCTGTACATATTTTTTGTCAAGTATTGTCCTGGATTGCAATTGGTTGACTTGTCTTTTCTGGGATGGTTCCGATGTGTTGATTGGTTAACCCAGCTTGTGGAATTTTAAAGGGAGATAATTTCAGTTTCCATTAAATTTTCTATAAGACTTGTTGTATCTTTATGAATATGTTGGCACATAATGGAGGCATGATCAAAATAAAGCTTTGTATAAATATGAGATAAAAGATATGCAGTTCTAACCTGTATGGTTGTATTACCAATTTACTTTTATATATATGCTCAAGAGTGAATGTTTCCATTTGTTTACTGTTTTTAGTATGTAAGAGTGTTCTGTAACTTACCATAAAAGCAAATAAAATTCAGTTGGAAAATTGGATTGGCGCTCTTTACAATATTTTTTTTAACTCTGTAAAGAGAAACAAGTGATCATAATGTAAGGAATTTTTTTTTTGGCGTCATCAGTTCATCTCGGTCGTCTCACCATAGTTATAAAGCAGACCTTCAGGTGCATGGTCGGTAGGTACTGGGGCGTGTCAAAGGACAGGGGTGTTGGTGGACCAAAAATGGCTGCTTTTATTAATCCTGTGTGGGCAGTGATTGGCTAGGTGTAGAAATAGTGCTATTTATGTTATGTTCGTCACTGTGTACCAATGTATCGAAAAAATATTAACAGTTTGTTAGATATCACAACTGTAGAGGATTCCAGACTTAAGTCAACCAAACTCATCTTAAAGATAGTACTCATACTGGGATAATAACATTGAAGTCATGATAATCTTCAAAGGTAATGGTATAAAATAGATTGATGGCCACAGATCTACATGTATATCATACTAAGTATGTAACATTTATGTTTCTAAAGTGATGAGGTGAATTCAATGGTAATTTATTTGTATAACATGTTTTCTGTAGATACTTTAGCATCAATGTTTCAGATGAATTTTCTATCATTCAGAAATATCTGACAATACATACAAATACATTGATAGTCTGATAGCAATGCAAATGAGCCTGGATTGATGTAAAGAACTAGCATGCAGGTGATGGTTCATGTACTGGTATATATGGAATAGATTACAGTGGGCCTTCATGTAATTATACATCAGAATATATATATATATATCTGTCAGAGAAGACACATTGTTAAGATTAGTTCAGTTAGGATCATTTATATGATTTGAATTTGAAAAATTGAAATTTTAAGATAAGGAAGTGATTGTGTATCTGATCTGACAGTCACACTTAGTAATTATAGTACACCGTCACTCCTGCTTTAAGATAAGGAAGTGATTGTGTATCTGATCTGACAGTCACACTTAGTAATTATAGTACACCGTCACTCCTGCTTTAAGATAAGGAAGTGATTGTGTATCTGATCTGACAGTCACACTTAGTAATTATAGTACACCGTCACTCCTGCTTTAAGATAAGGAAGTGATTGTGTATCTGATCCGACAGTCACACTTAGTAATTATAGTACACCGTCACTCCTGCTTTAAGATAAGGAAGTGATTGTGTATCTGATCTGACAGTCACACTTAGTAATTATAGTACACCGTCACTCCTGCTTTAAGATAAGGAAGTGATTGTGTATCTGATCTGACAGTCACACTTAGTAATTATAGTACACCGTCACTCCTGCTTTAAGATAAGGAAGTGATTGTTTATCTGATCCGACAGTCACACTTAGTAATTATAGTACACCGTCACTCCTGCTTTAAGATAAGGAAGTGATTGTGTATCTGATCCGACAGTCACACTTAGTAATTATAGTACACAGTCACTCCTGCTTTAAGATAAGGAAGTGATTGTTTATCTGATCCGACAGTCACACTTAGTAATTATAGTACACCGTCACTCCTGCTTTAAGATAAGGAAGTGATTGTGTATCTGATCTGACAGTCACACTTAGTAATTATAGTACACCGTCACTCCTGCTTTAAGATAAGGAAGTGATTGTGTATCTGATCTGACAGTCACACTTAGTAATTATAGTACACCGTCACTCCTGCTTTAAGATAAGGAAGTGATTGTGTATCTGATCTGACAGTCACACTTAGTAATTATAGTACACCGTCACTCCTGCTTTAAGATAAGGAAGTGATTGTGTATCTGATCTGACAGTCACACTTAGTAATTATAGTACACCGTCACTCCTGCTTTAAGATAAGGAAGTGATTGTGTATCTGATCTGACAGTCACACTTAGTAATTATAGTACACCGTCACTCCTGCTTTAAGATAAGGAAGTGATTGTGTATCTGATCTGACAGTCACACTTAGTAATTATAGTACACCGTCACTCCTGCTTTAAGATAAGGAAGTGATTGTGTATCTGATCTGACAGTCACACTTAGTAATTATAGTACACCGTCACTCCTGCTTTAAGATAAGGAAGTGATTGTGTATCTGATCTGACAGTCACACTTAGTAATTATAGTACACCGTCACTCCTGCTTTAAGATAAGGAAGTGATTGTGTATCTGATCTGACAGTCACACTTAGTAATTATAGTACACCGTCACTCCTGCTTTAAGATAAGGAAGTGATTGTGTATCTGATCTGACAGTCACACTTAGTAATTATAGTACACCGTCACTCCTGTAGTTCTGGCTTTATAGTATGAAGATTATTGTCAATGCTGGAAAAAATTAGTCCAGTTATAATTCTAGGTAGAATTGATAGACTGATAAATAGCTATACATAGTTGTAGGAAACTTTGAATTCAATGCTGTACTCTAAGGACAAGAATTGAATAACCCACTGTAGGCACAAAAATAGAATAATCCACTGTAGGGACAAGAATCGAATGCTCCACTGTAGGCACAAAAATAGAATAATCCACTGTAGGGACAAGAATCGAATGCTCCACTGTAGGCACAAAAATAGAATAATCCACTGTAGGGACAGGAATCGAATGCTCCACTGTAGGGACAAGAATCGAATGCTCTACTGTAGGGACAAAAATTCAGTGCTCCTCTGTAGGGACAAAAATTCAGGGCTCCTCTGTAAGGACAAAAATTCAGTGCTCCTCTGTAAGGACAAAAATTCAGTGCTCCTCTGTAGGGACAAAAATTCAGTGCTCCTCTGTAAGGACAAAATTTCAGTGCCCCTCTGTAGGGACAAAAATTCAGTGCTCCTCTGTAAGGACAAAAAATCAGTGCTTCTCTGTAAGGACAAAAATTCAGTACTCCTCTGTAAGGACAAAAATTCAGTGCTCCTCTGTAAGGACAAAAATTCAGGGCTGCACTGTAAGGACAAAATTCAGTGCTCCTCTGTAAGGACAAAAATTCAGGGCTGCACGGTAAGGACAAAATTCAGTGCTCCTCTGTAAGGACAAAATTTCAGTGCCCCTCTGTAGGGACAAAAATTCAGTGCTCCTCTGTAAGGACAAAAATTCAGTGCTCCTCTGTAAGGACAAAAATTCAGTACTCCTCTGTAAGGACAAAAATTCAGTGCTCCTCTGTAAGCACAAAAATTCAGTGCTCCTCTGTAAGGACAAAATTTATCTCTTGTATGTTCATAGCCATCAAATTTTAATCAGTCATTAAAAAAATGTCAACCTTTAGTCTTAAGTAAAGTGAGATTGTTTTCTTCAGAAGTGCTGTTTGTTCCAAGAAAAGATTTAAAGTATATGGTGTTGTTTCATTAGATATTTGAGGGAAAACATAATTCAGCCTAAGGAAATCCTTTAGTCTTAACCCTGCTGTCAGTTTGGGCAGTTTCAGTGTAGTTTAAGGAAAATATTAGTGAGCCATCCAAACTTCAGAATTGAGATTGATTAGTAAGAAGGGCTGATTTTACTGTTTATTTTTAAGCTTTGTAGGGGATTATATAGTTGCTACTTTGTTCATCTGTCATTCCATTTGTCTTTTTTGTGGCTAAAGCTTAACTTTACCTACAGTGAAGCAAGGAC